AATGCTGCACGGCGCTCGTTAGCTGCGCGTCCTTTTTTCGCGCAATTTTTTTAAAATTTTTTGTCCTATAACTTTCACAGTTTTTGTTATTACGGAATGATTGTTATGGCATCGTAATCAGCTCATATCATGGAGACGAAACTTTTAGTACTTATATCACAAGATTTTAAGAAAAAATATTTACAAATTTTTAAACCTTGAACACACTGGCAACCGGAAATAGTTATAATTTTTTGTCATTTTAAAAACTCAACATCATTTTTGAAATACAAGAATAAATGTTATCAAATTTTAAAAATATCAACAGTCAATATAACCAAAAATATTTCGATTGGCAGAACATACATACTTGTAGCGCAATGCACGTTACTGGGCCGCGCCGCGCACTCAATTATGCTTCTCGCAACCTCGCTAGATCGGCGAGATCAGAAATGCGCTACTGGGCCTCACCAAGCTGCGATGAATTGACATCGTCAATTAACATACATACTACATGCTACATGAAAAGGTCTCCTCCTAGTCGTTGGAGTGGCCTGCATCACACATCTCTTCTACGGCGTAACATGTTCCTCCATTCCACTCATTTTAGAGCTAACTGTTTTACTGCGTCTCTGCTGATGTAATCGGCACCTGTAAAATCAGCCGCATCCTCAAGTACACAGGCTATCCAGCTTTTTATTTGCGGGGTCGTCCTCTCAGTCTCTTTCCATAGTTTGGTTTCCAATCCAGTTTAAAAAAATGGAAAACCGTGTCTCTGGCATTCTGACAACATGTCCGTACCGAACTACCTTAGTCTAGCCGAACCAATGAAAGTTTCGATAGACTTAATTCCAGCACGCCTCAGAAATTCTTCATTGGAGACATGGAAGAACCACTTTATCTTCAAGATTCATCTCATATCAGGGAGGTCAGATAGAATACCTTAAATCGTTTCATCTGCTTCTTTGTTGTGTTTCAGACTTCAGCTCCATATAACAGAATAGTAATAACAGCAGCCTTGTAGATACGGATCTTGGTGGGCGTTCTTATAGTTCGACTGTTCCATATAGCGTGTAGCAACAAGCAACAACAAACAACGCCCCGAAAATGGAAAAGTTAGTGGTGCACCGCGCCTAAACCATAAACTCTAAATATTGTTAAGAAAAACGAGATTTTGCGAAATAATTTAGCATGCTGACTTCGTAGGATATTACAATCATACCCGTTCCAGTTCCAGATATGAGTCAGCGCTTAAACCAAAAGCAGTTGGAAAAAGGAGCCAGTTGCCTGTAAGAGCTTTACTAGCACCAGATTTACCACTATTGGAGCACAAACTCAAGCCTAAAACCGGCCGAACACGAAAATATGTTACCGCCACGCCACAATTGGGTTGATTGATTCCCAGGATATTTATCAGCACGCAGCACTAATATGAAGTTCATTATCGAATTTTAGTTTGGCATATATGGAGCGTTTTATAAATATACATTGGTCATTAGAAAATAATTAATGTTTGGTAATCGATAAGTCAGCTGCTGAGACCCTAGGCTATAGGAAGGCTAAGAATAAGTGCTTCTTCTCTAATGACCCTACTGTTGTTGCCCTAGTCGCAGAACGACACGATATACGCCTTGCCCTGGCAAGCACCAACAAGCCCTGTGATAGCTCTGTACTGCGAGGACGGAGAAATAAGCTCGGTAAAGACATCAAAAAGAGACTGAAAGAGCTAGAGTGTGCTAAGGCTGACCAGTTAGCTGAAGAAATTTCATCAACTGACGACACGCGTCAAATGTTCGAAGCTGTGAGATCCTGTGAGACGGACATAGGCGGACATAGGCGGACATTGACGGACATTGACGGACATTGACGGACATATACGGACATTAGCGGACATTAATGGACACCTAAATTGCTAAATAAAATGTTCAATTTTTGCTGTTATAGGGGGATCATGTAGTTTTGTCCGTTCGGTACCCTATATTTTCAAAACGGACAAAAAATAGAGCGGACAAACGGACAAAAATGGACAAAAACGGACAAAAATGGAAATAACATTTAGATGCTACCTCCTCCTACTCTTCCACCTCCTCCTCCTGGGTCTTCCTGATCTTCCTCAGTCCTCTTCCTCCTCCCCTCCTCAGTCCTCCTACTCCTCCTCCTCGTCCTCAGTCCTCCTCATCAGTCCTCAACAGTCCTCCTCCTCCCCAGTCCTCCTCCTCCTCTTTAGTTCTCCTGGGTCCTCCTCCTGGGTCCTCCTCCTCTTCATCCTCCTCCTCTTCCTCCTCAGTCCTCCTCAGTCCTCCTCAGTCCTCCTCCTCATCCTTCTCCTCAGTCCTCCATCCTCCTCCTCAGTCCTCCCCCAGTCCCCCTCCTCCTATTCAGTCCTCCTCCTCCTCCTCCTCCTCAGTCCTCCTCCTTTTCAGTCCTCCTCAGTCCACCTCAGTCCTCCTCCTCATCCTTCTCCTCAGTCCTCCATCCTCCTCCTCAGTCCTCCCCCAGTCCCCCTCCTCCTCCTCCTATTCAGTCCTCCTCCTCAGTCCTCCTCCTCTTCCCTCTCAGTCATCCTCCTCAGCCATCCTCCTCAGTCCTCCTCAGTCCTCCTCCTCCTGAGTCCTCCTCCTCCTCTTCATCCTCCTCTTCCTCCTTGGTCCTCAGTCCTCCTCCTCAGTCCTCCTCCTCATCCTTCTCATCAGTCCTCCTCCTCCTCAGTCCTCTCCCAGTCCCCCTCCTTCTCCTCCTATTCAGTCCTCCTCCTCCTCCTCCTCCGCCTCAGTTCTCCTCAGTCCTCTTCTCATTTCTCCTAAGTCCTCCTCCTGAGTCCTCCTCCTCCTCTTCCTCCTGAGTCCTCCTCCTGAGTCTCCTCCTCCTCCTCCCTCTCAGTCATCCTCCTCAGTCATCCTCCTCAGCCATCCTCCTCAGCCATCCTCCTCAGTCCTCCTCAGTCCTCCTCCTTCTCAGTCATCGTCAGTCCTCCTCCTCAGTCCTCCTCAGTCCTCCTCCTCCTCCTGGGTCCTCCTCCTCCTCCTCCTACTGGGTCCTCCTCCTGGGTCTTCCTGATCCTCCCCAGTCCTCTTCCTCCTCCCATCCTCAGTCCTCCTCCTACTCCTCCTCCTCGTCCTCAATCCTCCTCATCAGTCCTCAACAGTCCTCCTCCTCCCCAGTCCTCCTCCTCCTCCTAGGGCCTTTTCCTGGGTCCTCCTCCTGGGTCCTCCTTCTCCTCCTGGGTCCTCCTTCTCCTCCTGGGTCCTTCCCCTCCTCCTCCTCAGTCCTCTTCCTCCTCTTCCTCCTCCTCCTCCCTATCAGTCATCCTCCTCAGCCATCCTCCTCAGCCATCCTCCTCAGTCCTCCTCCTTCTCAGTCCTCCTGGGTCCTCCTCCTGGGTCTTCCTGATCCTCCCCAGTCCTCTTCCTCCTTCCCTCCTCAGTCCTCCTCCTACTCCTCTTCCTCGTCCTCAGTCCTCCTCATCAGTCCTCAACAGTCCTCCTCCTCCTCCTCCTGGGGCCTTTTCCTGGGTCCCTATATAATTTGATATAAGTTAAAGCTATTAATAGCTTTAGTGTGATAAATAAGTCGTTTGTTTTGTACAAAATTATAATACATAGAAGATGTCCACCAATGTCTGCTAATGTCCACCAATGTCCGTCCGAGTCCGCCAATGTCCGTCCGGGTCCACAAATGTCCGTCCGAGTCCGCCAATGTCCGTCCGAGTCCGCCAATGTCCGTCCGTGTTCGCCAATGTCCCAAAAAACACGTCCGTTGTCTCATAGAATCCAAAAAGGACAGGACATAGGCGGACATAGACGGACGTGACACCCCCCCCCCCCCCCCCTAAAGTTAAGAGACTCGCTGTTCAGATCGCCGCATCCATTGGTTTATCAATTAAATATCTGACCAATGAGCGTACGTTATTTCGTCTATTATAGAGATAATATAAACAATAGAACGACAACATCAGCTTAACAGCTTAACGTTGAAGGACCCGATAGAGACAGAGTACTGGAGACCGCTGGGTAGACTAATCCACAGTGATCACTTCATCACCCCGTATGTGTTATATTGAACAAATATTCCGAGCCAACAATGTACCAGATCTATAAAACAGAGTACGAGTCCGCCAATGTCCGTCCGTGTCCGCCAATGTCCCAAAAAACACGTCCGTTGTCTCATAGAATCCAAAAAGGACAGGACATAGGCGGACATAGACGGACGTGACACCCCCCCCCCTATGAAGAACAGCTGACTGGAGATGAACCTGCCCTTGATCCGTTTGACGGTCCCCCTTCTCCCCTCGACTGCCCTATCACAGAATATGAGGTAAAAACCGCTGCTAAACGCCTCAAGAACGGCAAAGCCAATGGACCTGACAATACCCCCAATGAGCTCCTCAAGTATGGTGGGAGTGCGCTATGTGTCCATTACGCCAAAATCATTAACACCTGCTTTGAAGAGAACCTGTTCCTTGACGCTGTCGGAGAATGTTTCATCACCCCTCTTCAAAAGCCTGGCAAGACTCCTGGTGAACTGAAAAGCCTCAGACCCCTGACATTATGTAACTGTGCTCGTAAGCTGCTATCCCTCATTACACTCAGGAGAATTGAAGCAAAGGTAGACGCTTACACAGGTCCATGGCAAGCTGCCTACAAGCAAAAGAGAAGCTGTGGAGACCTGGTATGGTGTCACCGTATGTTGATCAGCATTGTAAAAGAAAGAGAGTGGTCTTTCCACAAGATGGGCCTAGACATGTCCAGTGCCTTCGATACTATCAGTAGGCAGACTGTGCTCAACCGACGACGCAGGGTGCACAAGAGATGAGATCAGACTAGTGAGATTCCTCCTGAGCAACACCAAGATCAAGGTGCGAGTCAACGACGCTACCTCCCTTGTATTCATCAGCACCAATGGAGGACCCCAAGGTGATAGTGTTTCAGGCCTCTGTTTCACAATCACTCTAGCTGGTGCCTGCTACCACCTGCGTGCCGTGACGCTGCGACCAACCCCTCCCCCCTATAAGCCCTAGTGGCATGCCTGAAGAAGATGCCTACTCTGATGACATCGACTATCTTGGTGAAGAGAAAGATGCTCTTGAAGCCCTCCTCCCTATCGCTACTAAGGTGTTCAAAGAGTGGAATCTGAATATTAATGAATCAAAGACAGAGTTTGTACACGTCTACATAGCTGGAAAAGATGAGGTCATGGATGATGGTAAACCCCTTAGAATGAATGAAGAATGGTGCAGTAGCAAGTTGTTGGGTTCTCTGCTAGAAAGTAGGAAAGATGTCACCAGAAGAATCATGTTAGCCAATGTAGCATTCCAGAACTTCAAGAAGGTCTGGTGCCAGAGTAAGATCCCCCTACAGAAGAAGCTGAAGGTCTATGAGGCCCAAGTAGTATGGTCTATCCTCATGTATAACTCTAGTTGCTGGGGAATGCCTAAATTGTACTGGGACAAACTAGATGCATGTCACCGTAACCACCTCAGAAAGATCATGAATGTCAGCTGGCCACGCAGTATGATGTCCAAAGATACCCTCTACAAACAGAGTAACTCTACCCCTATGTCTGAGCGTGCTGAGTTATCTAGGTGGAAGATGCTAGGACACATACTGAGGAGCGATGAAAGATCACCAGCTCAAGCTGCGCTGTGTTTTGCTGTCGAGATGCTGGAGCAAAAAAAGGACCCCAAAAATTTTTTCACACCGACTGAGCGCTAAATTGGACAGGGGAATACACCAATAAGGCGTTATTTTCAGTGAGAGGTCATAAAATTCAAGAAAAATTCAAGAAAAAACCTAGGGGCAACTTTTCGTTGAGAAAGGGCGCCTTTTTGGCGCCCCCTGAGAGTGGCGCCTTCCGGCATAGCCGGGGTGGCCGGCAGTGGCGTAACGAAGGGCCCTGCTGACCCCGCTAGTCAGGGGGGCGCAGTCTTAGGGGGGCGCCAAATCGTTGTTTGAATATGGGATAATTTCGAAAACTTACCTAAAGTACTAGCAAAACTGTGCGTTTTGCTCTAGATACACACTTTTTTAAAGATTTTACCGTCGTATCCTCTAAAATCACCTAATTTGTTCAATTTTAGGGAGGGGCACCAAAAGGGGAGGGGGCGCCAACAGGGGGGCAACCTTTCGGCGGGGGGCGCCAACAGGCAACGTTACGCCACTGGTGGCCGGGGCAGCGTTACGCCACTGGGGGAAGACAATGTACTGTACTAGGACACTTCAAAAACTTTACAATTATATATGTAATGACTTGTACTTTTATGTGAATTAATGTTCATCTGTAATTCCAGATAGTGGAATCATAAAAACTGAGCAGTGTGGATATTTTTTGCTCCATTACAGTCAAGAGGCAGGCAAATGCAATTGAGATATTGTAAGTTTAAAATTAGGCCCAAATAAAGACCTAGGTGTATACTTGCATGTTCATGTGCTTTTGTGTTTAATGTATTCTTTTCATTGAGTATAAAACTAACTTGTTTATATTCTTAAAATGTTAATCTGAGCTGCTATGTAGGATGTTGAGAAACATACCCAAGTTACGAGGCGTATGCAGCACCTCTCTAATCACGCCAGTGCGCACTGCTGCAGTTGGGCAACCTGACAAGATTGGCACATATCAGACATCTGTTCTGAAGCGAGAGCTGGAGTATAAGAGACGGAGAAAATTAAGGGACATGATCAAGGCTGAGCGTCAATATGTTGGATCATTGCCAGGTTTATATTTTTAACAGGCTTAGAAATCAATTATATACACAATATTAGTTGTGTTTGAAAGACGGAAATTTCATGAACCACAACCACTTTGACGTCTGAAGCTACTGTTATTTCTTTATTGATGCTTTTCATACAAAGTTAAAACAAATTCTTCATGTCGTGCATCCTCGACAGGATATGCCCGCTTAAAATATTTCCATCACGTTACATTACATAATTCTCAATAAATGTAATAGATTTGTAACTTGTTGTAATTAGTTTATGTTATATAACCATTTATGGTGTTTTCTTTGACAGGAATCAGTAGTGACGAATATAGGCCATCTCTGGAGCCTGGTACTATTAACCTGCGGTCCATGCACCCTGTGTATCATAGTCCACAACTTAGGAGCCAGGTAACTTCATGCACCCTGTGTATCATAGTCCACAACTTAGGAGCCAGGTAACTTCATGCACCCTGTGTATCATAGCCCACAACTTAGGAGCCAGGTAACTTCATGCACCCTGTGTATCATAGCCCACAACTTAGGAGCCAGGTAACTTCATGCACCCTGTGTATCATAGTCCACAACTTAGGAGCCAGGTAACTTCATGCACCCTGTGTATCATAGCCCACAACTTAGGAGCCAGGTAACTTCATGCACCCTGTGTATCATAGTCCACAACTTAGGAGCCAGGTAACTTCATGCACCCTGTGTATCATAGCCCACAACTTAGGAGCCAGGTAACTTCATGCACCCTGTGTATCATAGTCCACAACTTAGGAGCCAGGTAACTTCATGCACCCTGTGTATCATAGTCCACAACTTAGGAGCCAGGTAACTTCATGCACCCTGTGTATCATAGTCCACAACTTAGGAGCCAGGTAACTTCATGCACCCTGTGTATCATAGCCCACAACTTAGGAGCCAGGTAACTTCATGCACCCTGTGTATCATAGCCCACAACTTAGGAGCCAGGTAACTTCATGCACCCTGTGTATCATAGTCCACAACTTAGGAGCCAGGTAACTTCATGCACCCTGTGTATCATAGCCCACAACTTAGGAGCCAGGTAACTTCATGCACCCTGTGTATCATAGTCCACAACTTAGGAGCCAGGTAACTTCATGCACCCTGTGTATCATAGCCCACAACTTAGGAGCCAGGTAACTTCATGCACCCTGTGTATCATAGTCCACAACTTAGGAGCCAGGTAACTTCATGCACCCTGTGTATCATAGTCCACAACTTAGGAGCCAGGTAACTTCATGCACCCTGTGTATCATAGTCCACAACTTAGGAGCCAGGTAACTTCATGCACCCTGTGTATCATAGTCCACAACTTAGGAGCCAGGTAACTTCATGCACCCTGTGTATCATAGTCCACAACTTAGGAGCCAGGTAACTTCATGCACCCTGTGTATCATAGTCCACAACTTAGGAGCCAGGTAACTTCATGCACCCTGTGTATCATAGTCCACAACTTAGGAGCCAGGTAACTTCATGCACCCTGTGTATCATAGTCCACAACTTAGGAGCCAGGTAACTTCATGCACCCTGTGTATCATAGTCCACAACTTAGGAGCCAGGTAACTTCATGCACCCTGTGTATCATAGTCCACAACTTAGGAGCCAGGTAACTTCATGCACCCTGTGTATCATAGTCCACAACTTAGGAGCCAGGTAACTTCATGCACCCTGTGTATCATAGTCCACAACTTAGGAGCCAGGTAACTTCATGCACCCTGTGTATCATAGCCCACAACTTAGGAGCCAGGTAACTTCATGCACCCTGTGTATCATAGTCCACAACTTAGGAGCCAGGTAACTTCATGCACCCTGTGTATCATAGTCCACAACTTAGGAGCCAGGTAACTTCATGCACCCTGTGTATCATAGTCCACAACTTAGGAGCCAGGTAACTTCATGCACCCTGTGTATCATAGTCCACAACTTAGGAGCCAGGTAACTTCATGCACCCTGTGTATCATAGTCCACAACTTAGGAGCCAGGTAACTTCATGCACCCTGTGTATCATAGTCCACAACTTAGGAGCCAGGTAACTTCATGCACCCTGTGTATCATAGTCCACAACTTAGGAGCCAGGTAACTTCATGCACCCTGTGTATCATAGTCCACAACTTAGGAGCCAGGTAACTTCATGCACCCTGTGTATCATAGTCCACAACTTAGGAGCCAGGTAACTTCATGCACCCTGTGTATCATAGTCCACAACTTAGGAGCCAGGTAACTTCATGCACCCTGTGTATCATAGTCCACAACTTAGGAGCCAGGTAACTTCATGCACCCTGTGTATCATAGTCCACAACTTAGGAGCCAGGTAACTTCATGCACCCTGTGTATCATAGTCCACAACTTAGGAGCCAGGTAACTTCATGCACCCTGTGTATCATAGTCCACAACTTAGGAGCCAGGTAACTTCATGCACCCTGTGTATCATAGTCCACAACTTAGGAGCCAGGTAACTTCATGCACCCTGTGTATCATAGTCCACAACTTAGGAGCCAGGTAACTTCATGCACCCTGTGTATCATAGTCCACAACTTAGGAGCCAGGTAACTTCATGCACCCTGTGTATCATAGTCCACAACTTAGGAGCCAGGTAACTTCATGCACCCTGTGTATCATAGTCCACAACTTAGGAGCCAGGTAACTTCATGCACCCTGTGTATCATAGTCCACAACTTAGGAGCCAGGTAACTTCATGCACCCTGTGTATCATAGTCCACAACTTAGGAGCCAGGTAACTTCATGCACCCTGTGTATCATAGTCCACAACTTAGGAGCCAGGTAACTTCATGCACCCTGTGTATCATAGTCCACAACTTAGGAGCCAGGTAACTTCATGCACCCTGTGTATCATAGCCACAACTTAGGAGCCAGGTAACTTCATGCACCCTGTGTATCATAGTCCACAACTTAGGAGCCAGGTAACTTCATGCACCCTGTGTATCATAGTCCACAACTTAGGAGCCAGGTAACTTCATGCACCCTGTGTATCATAGTCCACAACTTAGGAGCCAGGTAACTTCATGCACCCTGTGTATCATAGTCCACAACTTAGGAGCCAGGTAACTTCATGCACCCTGTGTATCATAGTCCACAACTTAGGAGCCAGGTAACTTCATGCACCCTGTGTATCATAGTCCACAACTTAGGAGCCAGGTAACTTCATGCACCCTGTGTATCATAGTCCACAACTTAGGAGCCAGGTAACTTCATGCACCCTGTGTATCATAGTCCACAACTTAGGAGCCAGGTAACTTCATGCACCCTGTGTATCATAGTCCACAACTTAGGAGCCAGGTAACTTCATGCACCCTGTGTATCATAGCCCACAACTTAGGAGCCAGGTAACTTCATGCACCCTGTGTATCATAGTCCACAACTTAGGAGCCAGGTAACTTCATGCACCCTGTGTATCATAGTCCACAACTTAGGAGCCAGGTAACTTCATGCACCCTGTGTATCATAGTCCACAACTTAGGAGCCAGGTAACTTCATGCACCCTGTGTATCATAGTCCACAACTTAGGAGCCAGGTAACTTCATGCACCCTGTGTATCATAGTCCACAACTTAGGAGCCAGGTAACTTCATGCACCCTGTGTATCATAGTCCACAACTTAGGAGCCAGGTAACTTCATGCACCCTGTGTATCATAGTCCACAACTTAGGAGCCAGGTAACTTCATGCACCCTGTGTATCATAGTCCACAACTTAGGAGCCAGGTAACTTCATGCACCCTGTGTATCATAGTCCACAACTTAGGAGCCAGGTAACTTCATGCACCCTGTGTATCATAGTCCACAACTTAGGAGCCAGGTAACTTCATGCACCCTGTGTATCATAGTCCACAACTTAGGAGCCAGGTAACTTCATGCACCCTGTGTATCATAGCCCACAACTTAGGAGCCAGGTAACTTCATGCACCCTGTGTATCATAGTCCACAACTTAGGAGCCAGGTAACTTCATGCACCCTGTGTATCATAGTCCACAACTTAGGAGCCAGGTAACTTCATGCACCCTGTGTATCATAGTCCCACAACTTAGGAGCCAGGTAACTTCATGCACCCTGTGTATCATAGTCCACAACTTAGGAGCCAGGTAACTTCATGCACCCTGTGTATCATAGTCCACAACTTAGGAGCCAGGTAACTTCATGCACCCTGTGTATCATAGTCCACAACTTAGGAGCCAGGTAACTTCATGCACCCTGTGTATCATAGTCCACAACTTAGGAGCCAGGTAACTTCATGCACCCTGTGTATCATAGTCCACAACTTAGGAGCCAGGTAACTTCATGCACCCTGTGTATCATAGTCCACAACTTAGGAGCCAGGTAACTTCATGCACCCTGTGTATCATAGTCCACAACTTAGGAGCCAGGTAACTTCATGCACCCTGTGTATCATAGTCCACAACTTAGGAGCCAGGTAACTTCATGCACCCTGTGTATCATAGTCCACAACTTAGGAGCCAGGTAACTTCATGCACCCTGTGTATCATAGTCCACAACTTAGGAGCCAGGTAACTTCATGCACCCTGTGTATCATAGTCCACAACTTAGGAGCCAGGTAACTTCATGCACCCTGTGTATCATAGTCCACAACTTAGGAGCCAGGTAACTTCATGCACCCTGTGTATCATAGTCCACAACTTAGGAGCCAGGTAACTTCATGCACCCTGTGTATCATAGTCCACAACTTAGGAGCCAGGTAACTTCATGCACCCTGTGTATCATAGTCCACAACTTAGGAGCCAGGTAACTTCATGCACCCTGTGTATCATAGTCCACAACTTAGGAGCCAGGTAACTTCATGCACCCTGTGTATCATAGTCCACAACTTAGGAGCCAGGTAACTTCATGCACCCTGTGTATCATAGTCCACAACTTAGGAGCCAGGTAACTTCATGCACCCTGTGTATCATAGTCCACAACTTAGGAGCCAGGTAACTTCATGCACCCTGTGTATCATAGTCCACAACTTAGGAGCCAGGTAACTTCATGCACCCTGTGTATCATAGTCCACAACTTAGGAGCCAGGTAACTTCATGCACCCTGTGTATCATAGTCCACAACTTAGGAGCCAGGTAACTTCATGCACCCTGTGTATCATAGTCCACAACTTAGGAGCCAGGTAACTTCATGCACCCTGTGTATCATAGTCCACAACTTAGGAGCCAGGTAACTTCATGCACCCTGTGTATCATAGTCCACAACTTAGGAGCCAGGTAACTTCATGCACCCTGTGTATCATAGTCCCACAACTTAGGAGCCAGGTAACTTCATGCACCCTGTGTATCATAGTCCCACAACTTAGGAGCCAGGTAACTTCATGCACCCTGTGTATCATAGTCCACAACTTAGGAGCCAGGTAACTTCATGCACCCTGTGTATCATAGTCCACAACTTAGGAGCCAGGTAACTTCATGCACCCTGTGTATCATAGTCCACAACTTAGGAGCCAGGTAACTTCATGCACCCTGTGTATCATAGTCCACAACTTAGGAGCCAGGTAACTTCATGCACCCTGTGTATCATAGTCCACAACTTAGGAGCCAGGTAACTTCATGCACCCTGTGTATCATAGTCCACAACTTAGGAGCCAGGTAACTTCATGCACCCTGTGTATCATAGTCCACAACTTAGGAGCCAGGTAACTTCATGCACCCTGTGTATCATAGTCCACAACTTAGGAGCCAGGTAACTTCATGCACCCTGTGTATCATAGTCCACAACTTAGGAGCCAGGTAACTTCATGCACCCTGTGTATCATAGTCCACAACTTAGGAGCCAGGTAACTTCATGCACCCTGTGTATCATAGTCCACAACTTAGGAGCCAGGTAACTTCATGCACCCTGTGTATCATAGTCCACAACTTAGGAGCCAGGTAACTTCATGCACCCTGTGTATCATAGTCCACAACTTAGGAGCCAGGTAACTTCATGCACCCTGTGTATCATAGTCCACAACTTAGGAGCCAGGTAACTTCATGCACCCTGTGTATCATAGTCCACAACTTAGGAGCCAGGTAACTTCATGCACCCTGTGTATCATAGTCCACAACTTAGGAGCCAGGTAACTTCATGCACCCTGTGTATCATAGTCCACAACTTAGGAGCCAGGTAACTTCATGCACCCTGTGTATCATAGTCCACAACTTAGGAGCCAGGTAACTTCATGCACCCTGTGTATCATAGTCCACAACTTAGGAGCCAGGTAACTTCATGCACCCTGTGTATCATAGTCCACAACTTAGGAGCCAGGTAACTTCATGCACCCTGTGTATCATAGTCCACAACTTAGGAGCCAGGTAACTTCATGCACCCTGTGTATCATAGTCCACAACTTAGGAGCCAGGTAACTTCATGCACCCTGTGTATCATAGTCCACAACTTAGGAGCCAGGTAACTTCATGCACCCTGTGTATCATAGTCCACAACTTAGGAGCCAGGTAACTTCATGCACCCTGTGTATCATAGTCCACAACTTAGGAGCCAGGTAACTTCATGCACCCTGTGTATCATAGTCCACAACTTAGGAGCCAGGTAACTTCATGCACCCTGTGTATCATAGTCCACAACTTAGGAGCCAGGTAACTTCATGCACCCTGTGTATCATAGTCCACAACTTAGGAGCCAGGTAACTTCATGCACCCTGTGTATCATAGTCCACAACTTAGGAGCCAGGTAACATCATGCACCCTTTGTGTATATAGCCAAATTAGGACCGGAAACTTCATGCACCCTGGTCAACCAAATTAGGAGAGGTAATTTCCCTTGCCCCTTGACCATTAAGGGGGAAAAACCAAACCCCCCCACCAACCCAAACTACCAAACCCCAACCCCCCCACCCCCCCCAACCAAAACCCCCAACCCCCCCCCTTTCCCCCTTTCCCCTTTAAACCAAAAAACCCCCCCACCCCCCCACCAACTTAGCCCCCCACCCAACAAACCCCCCAAACAAACCCCAAACCCCCAAATTCCCAAAACCCCCAACCACCCCACAAACCCCCCCCACCCACACCCCCAAAACAACCCAAACCCCCCCCCCCAAACCCAAACCCCAACCAAACCACCCCGGACAAACACCACCCAAAACATCCCCCCCCCCCAAAACCCCCCCCCCAAACCACCCAACCCACCATAAAAACAAACCAAAAAACCAAAACCCCCCCAACCCAAAAAAAACTTAAAAACCCCTTTAAAAAACCAAAATTTTTAACTAACCAAAAACCAAAAAACCCAAAAAAAACCCAAACCAATTCCCCAACCCACCCCCCAAAACACCCGAACAGACGGCAGCAGCATGGGCTAAAATAACAGAATGGCAAGAGAAGATTACAGCAGCCCGGGGCACAGACCGACTTGGTCTTGTCAGCGAACTGTTCGACAGCTTCAAGCTTGTATACGTGGTCCAGGGAGACCCCAAGACAGACTTGAGGCACCCAACTGGGGAATACGCCACACAAGCTCTGAAACTACACGGAATAGTGCGCGGGATAGAGGGGTACATGGTTCTGAACGTGGCAGATGATGAGGAGCTGGAGGAGACGTGTATTGAGCTGTCAGGGTGCACCTGGATGCCTCAAGTGTGGGCTGGAGGAAGGTTTATGGGTGATTGGAGACATGTTGCGGATATGCACAATGATGGGCCCATGGTGGCCATGCTGGAGGGGTGTGGCCTGAGTAGCAAGTTGAAGGGGTGTTACTATGAGGGGAAATCTCCCTTAGTTAAGTATTAGACATTGATTTGTAGTACGATAAACTGTAATGTAATTAAGTTGTGAGGTGTTACGAGCACAAAGGTTTTTTAAGTTAAAGTATGAAAATATAAAGTCATGAGAATTTTCCATGTTATGTTTAAATAGAGGTATCTTTAGTATTATTTATTAAACACAGGCATGAGTATCCTTAAATTGTCTGACATGATAGTTCTAATATTTTACTATCTGTATGTCCTCTTATCGTTGAATATCATTACAGATCATGTTACTATCCAGTTAACATGAAACATTGTTAAGAACATAAGTTACAAACTTGTACGTCATCGTGAAATTGAGTCAGATTGTCTGCCATGTGATCCTTGTTTCACTGTTTTTCTTGTCATAATGAACTAATCCACCGTTCCAACAATGTGACATGTCATATTTTAGAAAAGTGAGATAGATCATGGCATAATTAAAAAGATCAGCACATATTTTCAACGTTAATAGCATAATAAAGTTATTCAAATTCGCAATGATCTAATAAATATCGAAACTGATATTTTATGCAGGATTATTAAAACTTTATTTATCATAGTATACCACATTTTATTGAACCGTCTTACATTCTAACGATATAATTTGTTTTAATTAATTAATTATTTAATCATCAATAGGATGAGGTGTGTAGACGCACACCGCGTGATAGAATGTGTGATAGATTGCTGTAAAGTCAAGTTTAACGGTACAAACGTGTACCAATGCTGCGGAGACACTGATATAGTCCCTTTACGTGTCCCCTCCCTTATTACTGAGAATCCTTTCTTTTGGACTGTCACAGTTTTAGGTTAGGACGCGGAATATTGAATTTTAATATTGCAGATAATGTAATTCATATTTTCTTTAGGCTAGTTTTTTCTTTCTTTGGCAGATATCCGCTGTTTAAATTAGTATTTAGTAGGTCTAATAATAATAACGTCTACACTAGTAGGTATGTAGTACAACCTGGTATGTAGTATGTAGTACTACCTGGTATGTAGTATGTAGTATGTAGTACTACCTGGTATGTAGTATGTAGTACTACCTGGTATGTAGTATGTAGTACTACCTGTTATGTAGTATGTAGCACTACCTGTTATGTAGTATGTAGCACTACCTGGTATGTAGTATGTAGTACCACCTGGTATCTAGTAGGTAGTACTACCTGGTATGTAGTATGTAGTATGTAGTACTACCTGGTATGTAGTATGTAGTACTACCTGGTATGTAGTATGTAGTACTACCTGGTATGTAGTATGTAGTACTACCTGGTATGTAGTATGTAGTATGTAGTACAACCTGGTATGTAGTATGTAGTACAACCTGGTGTGTAGTATGTAGTACTACCTGGTATGTAGTATGTAGTACTACCTGGAATGTAGTATGTAGTACTACCTGTTATGTAGTATGTAGTACTACCTGTTATGTAGTATGTAGTACTACCTGGTATGTAGTATGTAGTACTACCTGTTATGTACCTTAAAATGTGAAATGCTCATTACACAGTATTAGCTGGTAGGTATCACTAACTTTATAAATCATATTGGAGTCCTAACTCTCCTCACGTCCGAAAATGGTGTTTCTCTTGTATCAAATATTACGTCTTATAACGTCTTATATTTCAGTGTTCGTAGTTGTAGCAACTGCTATAATTTGCAAGAGAAGAGCAAAAAGAGGGATTCTCAATCCGGAGAATGTTCCACTTTTTGACAGGAGTCCGGCCGGGTGTTCAAGTTCACCCGAAACTTCTGACTTCACGACAACTGATACACATGTTTATGTAGATTTGGAATGACAGTAGATTTTGAAAGTTCTTTTTGTATGATTGTGAAAAACTTGTTTTTAATTCAATGAAATTTGATATTTGATGTTTGGTTATTTTTGGCTGCGATATGTTCTTTTTATATTTTAGTAAGATAACATCCACATTCCAGACGTTGAACGTTCTGTAAACTTTTATGTTTGATTTCAAAATTCAAACACAAGAAATATTTGTATGTATAACTCTGTTGGCTGATTTTTAATTCATGTTTAATTCAGATTTTGCTATGATGTAGTTTTTATGAGTATTATTGGTGTCGTATTTTAATGTTATTGACTGTAGTCTGTCAACAGATGTCAACAGATTGAATATGTTATAAGGAGAATATTTTTGTTAATTTTTTATCTTTTTCATATAAGTTCCTGTTTGTAGTTGTTTAATGTGCGATCGATATAATTGCTTTTAAAGAATTTTTATCAAAATCTATGTTAAATTATAAAGTTTTTATACGTTTTTATTCTGACCAATTCATTTTTTGTAAACTCTGCCGTGTATTAATTGCTTCACTACCATAATATTAGGTTTATACACAAAGTATTTCACTAATTTATCCACCCTCTAATAGACAAACAACTCCACATTTCCATATCTTTATCGATTGCTCTGTTCCCTTTTTTTAAAGAGAGACCGGACCTAGGTGGCCCACAAGAAGATAGCATGAAGACAGATGTTCTGTCAAGTGTCATTGCTTCATATTCTAACTCTACTAAACATTCAGAATGTCCAAGCGGCAGCGGGTTGAGAATACCTCTGCTGGTGATACTAAAAGATACGATTGTCCAAAGTGCTCTTTTACAACCGTACATAAAAATTCATTTAAGTATCACTGCCTGCGTCACCTTAATGTGATGTACCCTTGTTCACAGTGCAACTTCAAAAGTACAAATAAACAAGGGCTTAAAAAGCATTATCTTGTGCATCAGGCAGAAGGAGCCATATTTGTTTGTAGTATTTGTGACATACACTTTCCCTCCCAATACGGGTTACATCTCCACGATGGAAAACATCACCGTCAGCTGTTTTCGTGTGATTATTGCGACTACAAGAGCAAATTCAGGAACAAATTGACAAATCACATAAGAACACACACTGGAGATTACATCGAATGCGATGACTGTGATAAGAAATTCGCCTCACGAAGTGCACTTAAATTTCATGTGATAAATATCCACAGTGAAGGGCCAAAATCTTACAAATGTCTCAAATGCTCTTACTCAACCAATGATAGAAAGAGTATGTTGAAGCACGAAACAACACACACGGGTAAAAGGCTGCTCTCTTGTCCGGACTGCAGTTACACAACTAATCTCATGACTAGGTTGACACAACACGCTGTCTCTCACACTACATCTGATCCTCCTTATAAATGTGAAATTTGTGATTACTCGAATTTCTTTTCCCGAAATCTACGTGCACATCAGAAAGAAATGCATTTCAAGATGAAAGTAAAGGTCCCTAAAAACATCATCAAGTACTCAGTATGCTTTACCATCTTCAAATATCAGAAATTGCTTGATGAGCATGTTATGAAGAAACATGGTGAGGGCAGCCAGTCGATGAAAGAAATTTTAGCTCCCTTTATTCAAAAGGAGCATGTCTGTAGGAAGTTGTGAACAATAAAATAGTGGTAACCAAAAATCATAGATCCGATATTACCTCCGCATTTGCATGAATTGTTTTATTCTTTATCAGGCTTAACTTAATTTAACTTGTGGTTAAGTTCTTAAGTTGAGTTAATTTTAATTTTCCGCCAAGAAAACGGAAGAAGTGAAAATTAATTATAAAATTAATTGACAGTAATTTAATTGGGAAATGTTTTGTTTAACATCATGGGATTTTTTATAGTATGTACTAATTAATTACTTATTAGAACTATGCTATGGTGCTGAAAATTTATAACTTTATTCATAACTTTATTTATAACTTTATTTATAACTTTATTCCGGCTATAAAGTAGCCGGAATAGTTGCTATGAACCTTTTTACTGAACCTGAACAGGGAAAACTATAACAGATATCCCACTCAACGAATGTTTGAATCTTTTTATAATGCCTGATAATTTTATAAGTTACATTCTCTCATGATCAGTGTGTAACTGTCTATAATGTAAAAGTTCTTATCTCACTCTTGTTTACGATAATATAATGCATTAAATAGGGTTGCAATAACTGGGAGGGCAATGTACTACCAGGGCAATAACAATAGTTATTGCCCTGGTAGTACATTTCGGCTGTGATTAACAGGTAAATAGGAGTGCGATAACTATTGTTATCACATTATAAGCGGTGATGTAACTGCTTAGTCTACAAAGTTTTATATTATATTATACTTTTTAAAATTCTTGATTCATCCCAATTTTACCTCATTCAGAGTTTTACATTGTTTTCAATGTTATTGTTTTGCTCTTATCATATTAGATCGTCTCTAATGTGTATAGTAGTTGATTATATCGGTGTGAGATTGTTGCATGGAACATTCCAATGAAATGCCTTCTGCAAATATTTTATCATGTTTTACCATTTAGATTTACCGAGAAGATGTAATATTAATAGTTGCACATATTTTTGTTTAACATATTTTCTTGCCTGCAGTGATGAATGATGAAGAAAAGATAAAGAAGAAGGTGGCAAATTTGAGCAAATTACTTAAACAGACCGAACACCCAGTAAGTTTTTAAAAATATTTGGGATTTTTATTTTTTCAAAGAGAAAGTGTGAAAAGTTATTATGGTTCTTCAAAAAAGGGTTATTATTAATACTAATAGAGTATAATACCTTATTAGTAGCGCCCATAAAATGTAATAAAACAACTGGTATGATTTTAATGCTTTCAGAGCAAGTTTTACCTGAAGATTTTCAACAAGCTTGATGGGTATCAAATGACTGTGGGTATTCTTAAGGTATGTAATTGACCATATTTGGGCATCACGTGGTATTCTTATATGCCACCTTTTTTTGTCTGATTGCAATAAAGTTTTTCAGTTCAGATAACAATTATATAGTTCTGTTCGTCCATGGTTCTTCTCTAAAGCAACTTGAATCCTCTTTTCTAATGTATTTTATCTTATAAAGAGACTTTTTCTCCAGGAGACGGGAATTGGAAAATTGATAAACGGTTTTAAAAGTCACGAGAGTGCAGAAATCGTTGAAATCTCAAAGCAGTTGGTCAGAAAATGGAAAAAGCAAGTTATCGACTCTACCAGTGACTCAACAAGTGATGTTAAGGAACCAGCACCCAAAAAAATCGTGGAGAAAGGACCCCTGCAAGTGTATTTTTACAGGCCTAACGTCAAAAAATCAAGTAAGTGCTATCATTGCATTGATGTATGTTACCGAGTAGCAAAATATTGGCATGTGATTCATTAAATAGGTGGTCCGCAGATTGCGTGATGGCCGTGAAGATGCCTACTTCTAAACCTATCAATAGGTTCAATAGGTAGGTTCAATATACTACTTGCTAGGCGGTGGCTTATGCGAACCGAGCCCACGAAACACTTTATTCTGTCAACGTGTTACGGAGTGACGTGACAACATGCTTTTGCGTAATAATCCAGAGCCGGGCCCTCGCAGATACGGTCTTCTTGAAAACGTAGCCGGCACGCGCGGGAGAGTTTCTAGTGATTTTGTTGCGCAAAACACGTGACTTCTTTAATATATTTAAATTATAATATATATATATTATATACGCGCGCGCATATAATAAATCAAGAGGCTTGCATATAATGAACATTATTGACACGGGTGCAGAGTTGAGTCTGTACGGAACCTAGTAGTTTCAGATCCTTGTTTAACTTGCCGTACAGCAAGGTCATCCATAATATCATGCAACACTAATAATCCCAGAAAATGTGTCATTGTGTAGGAAATTTCCAAACAGTTTAATCAAAAAATGGTAAGATTTATGGGACTGGTTTTTACGGTATAGTTTCGACAAATCTCTGACGAAGCAAATGTTTTAAAAATCGGCCATTGGCAAGTAGTTTAATTGTTACTGGGCCGCGCTCAGCCTGTCATTCCGCCTAATCTCTATTATGTTAATGAACATAATAGCCTGGGGTCCTCAGGTAATTTAATTGATGGTTTTGTACTGCAAATGTGATATCAAAAGTGACTCACTTTTTGTCCCTCTCTCACACTCTCACTCTCTCTCCCCATTTACAGCTCACCTAATAACTGCTTTGTACATAATTAGGTAGTTTGGCAGTGGAGCCTATTAAGTATTACTATTAGATACGTATTACGTGATGGGAGCTCAGAATTAAATTCACTCTAATGCGGTCGGTTTCAACTGAGCGAGTTTATACTTTTGCACAATTTTAACTTTTATACTTTTGCAATTCAACTGCGATGGTGAAGTCCCGGCCATAGGCACGGGTTACACTAGTACGTATAATAATAAATATATTATATGCGTCGCGAGCATCTAATGCATGCAGCTATATATAATATAATAGTGCCCTGCCCTCATTTACCAACTGTGAAATTTGATTTCTAATTTCTTGTTTCAGAAGCATCTTCACTTCACCATGACTCAGCATTTACGAAAACAAACAATACTTGGGGTATTTACTCGGGAGCAAGACAATCTTCAAAATGTTAGTAATTTCATATACTGCTAGAAAGTCAGGACCGTATTAAATGGCTGATTGACATGCTCTAAAGTCTGTTATATTTTTGAATATCGGTTGAATCGAAGGATATTCAATACAATTTCCAAAGTTTAGGTTTACCGACCTCCGGTAATTAGCAATTTTAAACACGCTTGATTCAGCAGATGGTTAAAAAATCTGCCGGTTTTTTTGCGGATTATTATCACATGTCTGTTATTTCCGTCAGTGACCAGTTGAGAGATTTAGCGATGCGAGTCCTGGTGCAAAATGTGGACTCCATATATCACACTGGGACACTTACCTGTGATTACCTCAGACCTGCGTTGTTGAAGTTAGTATGTTATTATTAACTATCAAGTTAAAGAATTATGATCAAATTTTTTTTAATCACGATTTTCATGATTTTTTACTTGTACTCTAAAAAGTCAGAATAAAGCTATATTTCATTTCGTGAATTTCTGATAAGAAATGTCCACTTTCAGGTGCAGTGCTGAACAACTCAACCTAATAGAACACAGAAATCCTCCTATCCGTGGTAAGAAATACTAGTTCGGGGAATTAATTAAATTTGTTCGTGTTTTGATGCGTCTCATTCGTCATTGTACAGTGTACTGACTAATGTGGCATTATGAAGTCAAGACACATAATGAAATATTTTGGCAAATCACTTCGTTGTCAGGCACATTAGAGTCAGTGTGGAAAAAGTTGGTGGAATCAGAGTTCCGGTCAAATGCTCTGATGGGTGACAGCTGGAAAACTATGTACTGGGTAAAATAGCACCCCCTCTGTATAATACAAACATTTAAACTGTCATCTACTCATCCCCCCCCCTCCCCCTTTATTCAAACACTCAAGACACACTGTCAACTCAATTTTTGACGAACACACTAAATTACGTAGGATAAGGTGATAGAAAGAAAGGAGAAGCTGAAGAGATTGACAAACAGTATTGCGACCGCCAAGATGGAAAAAGAAAAGGGTGGTAAGTGGATAAAGAATTTACTTATAAGAATAGTAAATTGCTACAATCTTCAATATAAGTTATGATATTTACTTGAACTAAAGATAACATTTCCTTGGTAGACTCGAGAGTGCGTCATCTGGTCGGCCCTCTGCAGCCCCTTTCCAAAGCCCGAGGTATCAAGCGGTCCCTTAACTCCTCCTCCTCCTCTTCAAACAGTTCCAGCACAGCTCCCATGATGAAACGGTGCTTGGATATTCAGAAAGTGAACAAGTGAGTCGTATAATTTCATGAAAGATAGATTTTACATGGATTACGATAGTCTCAGGCATTTTATACCTTATCAGACGTTATTTGGCGGGACATTTCCTGATCGGACATTAAAATGAACGCTCGAAGGCATTCAAAACCATTAAGAATCCAAAATATTTCATTTTTTGAGCGTTTTTTACCAATTTTAGAAGAAAATTTTTTTAATCGACTTTTAATACAAGCAAGAAAAGCATTAAAATGTTAATATAATTTAGTCGGATGATATAAATTGAAATTGACCGAAATTTAAAAGTAGTATTATCCTTAGCTGGACAATAAGTTCTCAGTGGAATACATTTGGGGGGACATTAAAATGAACGTTAGGGATTGTATGATTTTGCAAAAACTGGCCACGGCTAGCTCGGATGCCATGACAACAGGCATTCTAGCACGAATGTAATACCACTTGTGTTACTGGGCCGCTCTCAGCCTGTCATTCCGCCATATCTATGTGTTTATGAATACTAGTCACTAATCCTGGGGTCCCCAGGTATTAGTGAGGGTTGAGTGCCGCACTGGGAGACGTTGGGTCAGGAAACTGAATCATTTCACCAGTATTCTTCAGGATCCGGAGTTCCCTCGGACCTCTTACATGGTGGAGAGGTTTCACAGAGGTTTCAAAACCCAAGTGAATCGCCCAAAGCCCTCTGTTCAAGACTATTTTCGTGCTATAAAGGAACAACAAGCTTCAAACTTGCATGTTAAGGGGGGGGTTCACCCTAAGTTTTTTGTAAAACTTGGTTTCGAGATAGCAGTTGACCAACAAACTAGGACCGGTGACCGAACTTTTGAGGGGGTCCCCGACCCCAACCGCCAAACGGTGCCCGCGGGGCAGCCACGCCCATATTTGGTTCAAATTAGGCCCAATTTAGCCAAATACCCTGGACATGCCCAAAACCCAGATTTTATGTGCTCTTCTTGTAGCTAGTGGTCCCCTGAACAAGTATACGAATTTTCATCAAGATTGGGCAAAAAATGACTGAGTATGAGCCAAAAACCATATGACCATATTTGGGCATACGCACCAAATTTGATCGATTTTGGCCCATAAATTGGTCAAATATCAATATTTTTGAATGAAATTACTAATTAATTACTTGATGACGTATATGGTGGTCATATCACTCCTGACCTAAGGTCTGGCAGCCGAGTGCAGAGTGATTCATTATCATCCGTCTGAACTCAATTCTACAGATCATTTTATAAAGTTTTGGAGTTTTTCTCAGGCCTTTGTTTATACTGGTTAGTTGACTGTATAGTAGTCATACTAATACTGTTCAGACTTCAGCATGATACTCAGCTGAAATAAGATGAATCTCCTAAAACAATGACACCTAGACGAAGCACTTTTGTTTTATTGTTGTTTGAAATTTTATAATCCGATGCCTCATACGGTGGTGTTGTATTTTATATTCAAGATGCACTGAAGTTGTGAATAAGTCATACACAGCATGGTGCAGCGTGAGAGTTTCTCCTAATCAAACCAAACAAATCAGATGCTTTTTTGATATAGTTTTTATCAATTGTTCGATTTTGTATGCAATATCCGAATACATTACACCTAGTGCCTCTTTGAGTTGGTAAAAGTTTGATTTGTCTTTTTAAAATCTGACACATTACACCGTCTATCACCCAAAACTTCAATTATTAGGAGTTGAAATGTCATTGCAGCAGTCCGAAACAACTGACAAGATAATTGGAATTATTCTAATAATAATTCTTGTTGTGTCGCTCGTGGGAAACATATCAGCTTTGTGGTTCTTCTGGTCAAACAAACGGAAAACCCTCCCAGATAAACTTTACATCACAATAGCTGTTGTAGACATCATCACCAGAATCTCGTCTCTTCCTGTGTTAACCTCGCTTCTGAACAACAGGAAGCCTATGATTTACAGAAGTTCCACTTTATGTTCAGCATATCTCATTGCCGTAACGTTTTCGGTGAGAATGTCCATTTTCCTGGTTGCCGTTTTGAGTGTTACTCTGATGATAGAAACTAAATTGACCGAAATTAAAAAGTAGTCATATCTCGGACAATAAGTTCGTAGCGGCCTTCAGCGTCCAATTAACGTCCGTTCAAATAAGGTCTGGTTAGGTAAGGTATGCTTTTCTATTCGTGCTTATTCATTTTGTTCCATCATACTGGTATTACTTTTAAGAAAAGAAAAAAATCAAGGGAAAGTACATTTTCATCAGCTTATAGAAGACACCCTTACATTATTGTTACAATTTACCCGTTATTTTGCATGCCAAAGGCTGTGTTGTCCAGGTGGCAGCACTTAGAAGGGGCGGGTTGTCAGATAAAATCTGACTGCTGAAAATGGCAGAGCTCGGGGGGGGGGGGAATTTTACAAACCCCCCCCCCCCCCCCCCCCCCCCCCCCCCCCCCCCCCCCCCCCCCCCCCCCCCCCCTTTTTACACCGTGGGTTTTGGCAGGCCGCATATTTGTTTTTAGAAAGATGAGTAAACAACTATCGTATTATATCCGGAAGACTGGAGAGTTTTGTCATAACATTCTTTTTCATTCAGGTACAGAAGATGATTGATAAATCTGTGTGACGGACTGATAATCTTAGTAAGTTTCTGCAGTTCTTTTGGAAACCCATCAAAAAGACAATAAAATAAAGATAAATATTTGAATGATTGTACTGGTGTAATATATATAAAATTGTACCGGCGTAATATATATATAACCCGGTGGAAGTTATCCCGTTTGATAGGGTAAACGATTATTTGAAATTTCAATTAATCAAAGATATTGATTAATTATGATTCTAAGGGTTTTGTCAATTTGGTAATCTGTGAATATTGATCATTGATGATTTAACAAGAATTGCGCCGGTTAGCGGACGCTAGATTTCCATCGACCGTAATTAATTACAAGGCGCAGTTTATATCTCCGCCAAAAGCATCACATTTTAGCATTAAAGCGCGTAGTTTTCTCAACTATTTTCACAGTCGCGCCTTCCTGAAGTTACATTAAACAGCTTAGCAACCATCCAATGCGCAACGATCCAATGCGAAAATTTAAAATCACATTTGGATATGATGCGCGTGAGTGCTTACAAATTTGCTTTTGGCGGAGATATAAACTGCGCCTTAATTACAATTAACGATCGTTTCATATTGGTTAAATTACCAAATTTCTTTGGGGCGTTACAAAGTACAAAATGGAGGGGTTGCCGTTGTCAATTATTTGAATCGAAAGTTAAACGACCGGACACCGTAGCGCAGCCTGTGCGGTGATATGCATGATGCAGTAAAAAGGACATCTGTCCGACTCAATATGTTACCAGAAAAAAAAACATCTGTCCGAAATTGTGATCTAATTGCAATACGACACATTTCCATTTTTCCAATTAGAGACATGATCTGAACTGAGATATGACCTGAGCTGAACTCTACCATAGTTTATTTTCATTTGATGTCAAAAATTTGACAATAGTTTAAATGTTATACAAATAACTGATCTCCATACCGCTCTCCTGTGTGTAATGTAGGCTGTGATGTTACAGCTTGTTAGTGTACCGCTAGCATGATCCTGTCCTCAAATAGTCAATCACGTATCGATGGATCAGATCTCAATGGATCAAATCAGCATTATATTAGGACTGAGGGAGCAACGTCACAGGATTACACGTGAGCTTGTGAAATACGAACGTGATCCGAAAGTTGGACAGATGTCGCCAAAAACGACTCCTATCTGATAGGGTAAACGATTATTTGAAATTTCAATTAATCAAAGATATTGATTAATTATGATTCTAAGGGTTTTGTCAATTTGGTAATCTGTGAATATTGATCATTGATGATTTAAAAATGTCGGGGGAAATATTTAATCAGAAATATTCAGAGTTTAAGTAAAAAATGATAAGTATCAACAACAAAAAACAGTTTTAGTTTGTAACTGGTTTGGTTATATTAATTTGTAGCCGAGGAGAAAACGTCACTATGATTAGTTTTATCTCTTACAAAATATAGGACTCAGGGTTCTTTTGCGAAAGTGTTAACCATTTACAACTTTAAACCGTTTACAAGTGTAAACCGTTTACTAAACGCCATAGCTAGCGCTATCCAGCGCTTGTTGTCGCTGGATGGCGCTAGCTATCGCTTTTACACTATCGCAAAAGAACCGGACTTACGACTTATCTTTCAAAATGTTTTTGCTGTTTGCACTTTGCAGTTATTTATTGATAAACGTTCAAATGGGATGTGATATGGAAAGTAATGGGTCTCATGTTGGGACATATTGATTGATAGCGAAGTTGATGTAACAGTTCGGAGTCAATTTTGATTGGATGATTTGAATTCAATTATAAAACAATTGAATATCGAACAAGATTAACAAGGACACAGTCTTATCTCGTTATCTCGTTATTCTAAGCTCATCAGACAAGAGATACAATAACAATCAACTGTTTTTAGGTACCTTCAATTTTCTTTTATTATTGGTTCATTATCCAGTACTACTAGTACTATCCATTTCATTATCCATACAAATGCGCTCCTACTAAATCGCTCGCCCAAATTTTAAGAAAATTCTTGTGAAAAGGCCCTTTAGGCATGAAAGTGATCTAGATCGGTGTATTTTTGGACGCTGATTCCGAATCACCCCCCATGACGTAGGGTTAAAATGCTTCCCTGGAGAGTTATGGGCAAAAAACCGTTTTGGTCACGTGACAGGCTATTAAAACGTGAATTCGATTAATTAGGGCTCGGGTTAGGGTTAGGGTTGTGGTTAAGATTATGGATAGCTTCGGGGTTATGGTTAGGGTTAGGGTTGGGATTAGGGTTTATGTAAAACCGTTTTGTACGGCTGCAAAACCAAAAAAACCAAAGTCACGTGAAATTTTTGGGCGAGCGATTTAGTAAGCAGTAAGAGCCATACAAATGGGCTGCATGGCAGAATACCTCACTCATTTTATTAAAAGCGCAATATTTTATGTTGTATTAATATGTGATAGTAAATTTGAAGATTGTCAATTTGAAAAGGTGTATATGACTTTATACTTATAGTTGGGGAAAGAAGTAGAGAGACTGACAATCACCATGAGCACCATGAACATGAACCATTGACTACTGGTGACCGGAGTCATAATTCTATGATTCGTTGTCCATAAATGGACTAACCTGGCGCGCGCTATTTCGAGAAGAAAGCGGCGCGGGCTACTTCAAAGAAATTTAGACGAGTAACATTCGTCAGTATGGTTCGTTGCATCAAAAAGGAATCCAAAATATGATTTGTTCGTTAAAAGTAAGTTTTAAAAACAAACTTACTGTAACGAAGATGTAATTAGATCGAACGCAGAAATTAATAGATCGAACGCAGAAATTAGATCGAACTTTGGCGCGTGGGGTTTAGATCAAACTTTACTCAAAAAGCTGCATGTACTTAAATGTTGAAATTCGTAATGCGTAAGTGGTAAGCCGTGAATGAATGGGAAAAGTAAGCGACCGCGATTGGCGATTTCATTCTCGGTTGATTGACGATGTCAATCCGTCGAGATCGTTGCTCTGCGAAGCAGAGCAACGATCGATGCGAAGCAAGAATGCTAGTTCGCGCGGCGAAGTCCTCCAACATTCTCGGTATCATTTTGCATTTGCAGACGGTCATTCCACATTTTAGGTTTATAACCTACCAGGACGCGCGCCGAGTTGGACTCGTCGACGTATATCGCCCGTATAATATTTGAAACAAATATTTTACGGGCATCGCCCGTTAATTCCACATTCAAATTAATATCTTTACTTTTGTTTGGGAAAGAGACACTGGCAGCGTCCGAGTAGAACCTGTATAGTAAGAGTAAGCTCACCATTTTTGAAATTCAAGCAAATCGAGGAGGTTTGAGGTTCAAATAAAAGGCTGTTGGACTTGGATGTTCAGCTGGACTAAATACCGGTGAAAATATTTCGTAGGCTAATAAAATTCGAAGGCCTTAAATTACTCCTCCAGATAATTAATATCATGGAAACTTAATTCACAATTCTGTTATTTTTCCCGAACTCATAAAATAGGGGGGGGGGGGGGGGGGGGGGGGGGGGGGGGGGGGGGGGTGTGTGTGTAAATTATTTTTGAATCGAGAAATCCAGCATGATTTCTCATTTTCTCAGAAATTGTTCACTCAAAAATATGATTTGGAAAAATCATTCTTCATATCAGTGCAATGTAGTCCAAAAATGCTCAAAATCAATTTTTGAGAAGAGTTTTTCGCCTCTCTCCTGGAAACTTTTATCAAAATACTCGTGAATGGAGTCCCCATTCACCCCAGCCGGATTTAAGGCAGAGATTTATACAATCTAGTCTGATTTCTTGGCAAAGTAAGCACATTTATTTTTCCTCATATAAACAAAGTAAACACAAATTTTACGATGAATTTAACATAATAGTAATAGCGATCATATTTTGACTGGGAATCGATGTATATAATTTAAACGGTTGCTCACCACACAGCCACAAACAATGCTTGACAGTTGGAACTGACCGGCTATTTTCATAATATAGCCGGCGAAGCCTGGTGACATTCCACCAGCCTATCAGTCGGCAAAGTGCCAGACACGAGATCATATGATCCGCTAGACTAGTGTGGCTCGCAACGTTAAGGATGCATGCAGGGGGAGGGTTACCTGGCAACCACAACACCAGGTTGCATCACCAGGTCACCTTGCTTATCTATGTACATTTCACACTACAACACATATACACCTATATTCGGCTATAAACTTTCTTAAATAGGGTAAAAACCTTGATTTCAGGCCAATTGCGTGTTGTATATTATAGCACAGCAATAACAACAACAACAACATCTTTTAATCATGCAGCAGTCCTATAAATACTTATTCACTAATAACGTGTCCTTCAATCAAAATGACTAGATTCCCAAAATATGTCTGGCGAAATAAAAGGCGGTTAAGACGGCGCCACAAGTTTAAGTTAAGTTTTAATTTAAGAGGTATGTAATAAATAACTTTGAACGGTGTTGAGAATTAGAGCCTGGGAAGCTGTTTTCGATATAACTGCATGCCGCACAAGTCCCGTGTCCACAAATCCAAACAATATCATAACAGGGGTAAAAAGCCCAGCTTCTGTTGAAAGTTTTTACAACGATTTTCTATCAAGATCTCGGTCTAAAGGCGTATGAAAGACGGGTACGATCCTTGACGGCATACGAAGAGCAGCGACCCAGGCCAGGATAAATTATATGAAAACACTTTTATACATACATTTAGAAGAATCTCCTGTTTCATATTACAGTAAATAATAAATAAGTTATGTACATTTCCCACTGTGCTACGAAACATACAGGATACACCACTAGTAGTACTACTAGTATCTTTCCAACAAAAGGTATCAATTTCAAATGGATTCCCGGGTAATCAATTATCATCATCATTATCAAAAGTAAATCAACTATCAAGAATTTGGAATTACGAGTCCCACCATATTAAAATCTTCTGGCAACATCAGTAATCAAGACGTGACGACCATTAATTCTATAAGTAAAACGCCTAATATGTCTACCGGCACACGTCGTTCCATGGCACTAAAACTTATAGATATATATAAAGCAAAATATAATATAACTATGTATATTTATGTACACGTTTGCTTAGTGGCACATAAATGTGAACGAAAGAACTTCCCTTGGTGTATTGGGGATTAACATGCTGTAAGATTCAAGCTTGCGATAATAATAAATGCAATCCTGGCTCCACGGGGAAGGTGGTAGCCATTTTAACCCAGGACAATCAATCACTAAATTAATTAATAAATGATCAATTGACCCCTAAAAGTTCCCGACTGTGAGGAAATACAAGTTTTAACATTCAAACGATTAAGATAGTCAATATATTATAAGTAACGGTTAACAATTTGAAAAAATTCTAAAACTTTCGCTTAATCACGAGGTCAGATGTAGTAATACTAACAACAATATTTTAAATTGGCCTTTCTATTTGGTTCTAAGATTAAAAAGATGAAAATTCATGCTCGGCGGCTCTGCCTGTAACCTACACAATCATATCATTATTAGTTTTACTAATTTACTATTATCAATAATAGCAACAATAATAATAGTAACAATAAGTGAAAACCTCAAAAAATTGTTAAGATTACACTATCATATCTGTAAAAGAACAAACGATTGTACCATGTATAATATATTAAAATTATTATTATCAATAGAGGTCAAAATATATTCAAAAGTAATTAATTAAACCGCTGTGTCAATATCATGTTATTATGCTAATTAATTACAACATCTTGTAGTCGAGAGTACATTAAATCAATTAAAATTAGCAATCATGGTATCATCCGCCTTCGAGCGATCAAATCCAAGAAATTACACATCACAAGAGTCTTAGTAGGAATAGAAAAAGTTTGTCCTTGTCATTAAAAAATTTAAAATATTGTGGACGTACGGAAAACTGTACATCCATACAAAAGACGTAGCCCACAAAAAGGGGAGCAGGGACATGTTTCAGAACCAGTGAGTAGCCCATGACCATATGTCCCACCGAAATACTATCAAACCCCCCTATTTCCTAAGAAATGGAACTCCCAGCCTACCGCTGTACCCGAGCGCCCAGTATGATCATTAGTGTTTAGAAGGGTTTGACAGCAATAAGTAGGCAAGTGGCCAGTGATTATACCAAAATGTTTCAGTTGGATTTTACGCCACGTGTAAGCGACGAAAATACTCCCTATATTCACTCTTCAATCTGAGGCGGTTGGTTTGTTTCGTGTCGAAAATATGCCCTCTGTGCAGATAGAATGTTTGCATTTTTTATACTAACCGCCGTACAACCCTTAAAACAACCACCTCAGACAAAAAGATGATATTGCATCCGTGCACAAAACTCGGGGATCCCTGGATCATAAAACGATAAGTCACTTTTTCAGACACTTTACATTCTTTACACGATATTGTAAAAAGATACATGGGGGTCAAAGTAGGTCGACATACAAAGTTGAGGACGTCAAAACGTTTTACAGCAATATCATACAAAATATTATACACTTTCTTTCGTCATATGGGCCACGAAATATTTAGTTTTAACTGCTTGTCGACCTGAGTTTACATGGAGGATTCTACGTCTGTATCTTATGAAACAAGAAATTACATACATGTGATAGTATCTTTAATGTACAGGCCCGTTGATAAGGCGTGCGCTATTATGGAATACAAACACACACGCACAACGTATCTATCAACAGGGTGATAAAAACTGGAGCTGACACAGCACGTGCATGTCACGTGTGACGCAATATTTACATCTGAAGTGTCTGCAGTTTCCACTGTCAAGTCCTGATGTATCCATAAACACATCACATTAGAGATATGTTACCAGCAATCGCCCTGCCCCAGGAGATTTACCATACATTGTTACCTTGACAGCGAAGCAATGGATTTCTGTTTCCCGAGAGGGGTCCAAATACTGGAAGCAATTCCGCAGAAAATGCTATGTGGATGGATTCCGGACCCCTCTTCAGCGGGAAACCGAAATGAGATTACCTCGAAGCCGAGCTAACATGATTCAACCTTGCTCAAAAAGAAGGTACAACTGTACACGCACGACTCACGAACACACACAATATATTCACATTTGTATACAACTCTGTTCATCTTTCCGAATAAATTAACTCGTGTAGTGTGGCCTGCAAAAACAGAAGAGGAGGTGCCCAGTGCGGCACATGTTAGAAGGCGGGGGAGAGAGTATGGAACGAGCTGAAGCTGCTAGGACTGTTGAATGGAGAGGGTGAGAATTGAGGAGAGGTCATGTTGTTCATTCCGTTTGGGGCTGGGGAGAAGTTAAATCCGCTTACGTTGGACATACCTGGAAATGAACTGAGTCAGCACTAATTTTGTTTAACAGCGTTTACACGGAAATTTAGTAGTTTGTAAAGTTTAGATAGTCCCTTAACTGGATGAGGGTAAAGGTCTCGAATTGTTAAGGTTTGTCAGCCTGTCATTTCACAGAAATTGGCTGACTAATAGACTTCCTGTCTGCAGACAAACAAGGCGACAACTAACCGGGCATTCCGTAGACGTTGTTGGTCAGGGTGGCTGGGTGGTTAATTCCAGTGGGGTTGAAATTGCCGGGTTCGTAGTTGCAATGGTTGGGAGGGGACATCTGCTGTCCCGACTTGATAAAAGTCTTCTCCAGTTTAGCCAGTATGTGCTTTCCGTACGGAAACTTGCGCAGAGTCTGAAATGTACAAGTTCAGCATAATCAGTAATGTTTGACATATACAGATGGCACAACAAGGGAAGCGTGTGTTGTAGTGACAAGATGACCTAATATTTTTAAAGCCACAATAATGCAAAGTACCAACCTGGAGATGTGGTTTGATCTTGGACATAATGGTTCTTTTCTGAATGTGATCAGCCACATCGTACATCTTCTGAACCACATAGTTGGCGAACTGATCCTTCATCATGGTGAAGAGTGCAGGGTGGGGCCTGAAAAGTAAGTCAGTAATGAAAGAATAAGGACCGTAGCTAGTCTCTGTCAGCACGCCATTACTGCATTGTGTAATGTGCCGCTCAACCAAGACCTCGTGCTAAAACGTGGTGCTGAGCGCGCCAAGTACGCGCCCTTAAATTGTCCTGCGCTAAATGATGACAATCTGGTCCTTTTCACTATTTTAGGCGCTAAAAGATGCTGCGCGCGTCTGACCATTGTTAAAATTTGTCAGACCGCGTGTTAGATGGCACAAAGCTATAGCTCTGCTGAGAGCTGGACAATAAAAATATATGGAATAAAACATGGGCACGGCACGACCGAAGAGCACCTATAAATTGTGACAATGGTAGGCTAAAAAGTGTAGCTCATTGCGACATAACTGAAAGGTTTAATTACTGACCCGTCCATAGTGTTGCAGACTTCGTCAATCAGGGTGACACGCTGAGGTCTAGTTGAGTGGGTGACACACTTTTCTACGACGTTACTGAAATTAAAAAGGCTTTAAGATTTTAAAATTACACACATTCAATAGTTCAATATATTTAACTTTCTCGGATGTATATAAAAACGCAGGATCTCTCGACCCTATTCCAACTTTAACTAAAATTGTCATTTGCCTCTGCCCATAAGCCTAACCAAGGACACCCTAATTATAACCTCCCAGCTACAAAAATCACGTACCCATGTATTCATTGATCATATCAAATGTTAAGGAAGAGATTTCAAAACGACGAATGCATTTAAGTGTATCCTGAAATTCGACCCCGGAAAATACAATGTGGTTTTAAGTTAACTTGTAGGACCATGTAGTGTACCTGGCAAACTTGTGCTGGCTGAGCATGAGGACTTTTCCTTGAAGTTCAGACACAATGTGTGCTTTATCGTCCAGATCACCGTGTTCAAGAACATGCTGAAGAAGAGAGTATTAGTAATAGATATCAGTTAAAATCTTATTACAGTTAGCATATTATTGTTAACCTAGAGTCAAGTCAACAATCTGTGAGTATAAGCACATTATTGGACGATAAAAGGGTGGAATGGGTTGCTCCAGGCCAATCAAGTTTATCATCCCCTTTAACTTACACTAATTTGAAGTAAGCTCTCTATCAAGATATTTCCCACCCAATCAATCACCAAGATTGTGGTAATATGATGGTAGTTAAAATCCTACCAAACGCGGTAAATGAGCCCTCAAGGGCAGGCTGGCCTGGACTAAACGCCCAAATGATGGGCCGCGATGACCCCCCCCCCCCCCCCCGCGCTTTTAGGATGCTTGTCAAAAACTATTTACATCCACCCAGCGAGCTAGATTACATGGACAAAATGTAAACACTCGAGCCAGAGCCCGCCAAGTGGATACAGCTCAATCATGTGAACTGATCTTGCTGTACTTTATTGAGTGGGCCCGCCTTTTTGCTACTGTTGGTACCGATAAATTCCAATACAGTCGTTTCTGTGAAAGTTGAGGCATTCTTCCTCAAATAATTTGAATAGGGTTCAACTATCTAACCCTGAAAAAGCTCCAAAGCCCTTGAAGGCAGCCCCTATCTCAACATTCGTGGAGTAAATTATATAAAACCTAATTACAATCGGAAATGCGATCGTAAAAACAGGATTAGAATATCACAAGTTTCCCCTCACGGCCCCTGAGGGAGGAGGACACGCTACTAATTGCACTAACAATAGCAAGGTGGGGCTCTGGCCCTGTACTACAGTCCCTCACAATAATAATAATAACGGGGGGGGGGGGGGGGGGGGGGGGGGGGGGGGGCACTAAACCAAACCTAATTACAGATGCCCTGAGTACTTCACTCGGAGTGGTTCCTAGTTGGTTCGGGGAGGGTTCCGATGTCAAAACATAGGTGCACGTGCGTCATGTTAAACAACCCTGACTTTGTTAAGAGACACCCACGGGCCTTACAAAGGAAGGTGGTTTTCAGATGTAAATGAGGATCTACCATGACAAAACACAGGAAACAGACGAGTTTACCACTGACAAACAATATCCGTATTATATGCTACAGAGACACATAAATCTCCAACGTCTGGGTAACCAGAACTTGGCGTCTCAATTAAGAGTGGACATTTGAAATGTAAATCAGGAGGGAGGGGGGGTACAATCAGGATCTACCACGACAAAACATGGCGAACACGCGTACCACCACGGACGAACAATAACCACAGACTCAATGTCTGGGTACACAGAACGAGGGGGTACACAGAACGAGGGGGGGGGGGGGGGGGAGTGAAAGTGGAGCGGTTAGTGAAGCGGCGAAGTGGATCGTACAACCACCACAACTAACCGCAAAACTTGGCTCTAGCCCAGCTACCCTTACTGATAAGAAACACTGGCTTTGTTGTTACAACTTTAGTGCTAGTTGGCTGCAGAGCTGTTTGCAAGACGCTTAGGTAATCATTCTCAGGTGTTAACAGAACTAGAGTTAGGGTACCCGACTCTATAGTACGTTAACAAGTTGGTAGTGTAGATTTAGACGGCAGCTACACACTGATCTGTTCATTTTTCAGATCATAATATGGTCTATAGTTTTACGTTTCTGTGCCACATTGGATTGAGTATAAGGGGGAGCAGTCCGTTCAAATCTTGAATTTTAAGTATGTTCATTCATTGACATATTATGTCCACTTAAAATAAATGGACGAGATCCACTAATGCCTTTCCGGCATCCTGATCATTTAAGAGATTGATCTTTAAAAAGCCATCAACATTTGAGGAAATAATGAACAGGCAACTTGATGCACGGTTGCGGTTTAAGGCAGTCCACTTTAAGACGGACTTTATAGCGTACACCACTGAACTCTAGCTATCTCTCTCTTTCTCTCTCGACAGGGAGCACGGTGGATATCTTATAATAAAGCGGGAATGACGGGGGCACTATACTATACGGGTTAGTTGTTTAGCTTAGTGATTGCTCGTTAATTAGGTAGCAGGAGCGGCTCTATATAATAACACACATTACCACACATGTACCGTACAGTGTACAGCACACTGTACCGTACACATATACCGTACACATATACCGTACACTGTACAGCCTGACTAAGACAACCACCCACCCCTTCTCGGTAACAAATACAACCACCCACCCCTCTATAAACACTCTAAAAATGTACAACAACCCGCATGTGGGCCCCATATTGATTACAACACTACGTGGTTACCTCCGTGTAAACAGTACCACAGAGTTCACTGTACAATTATCATATATGCAGAACCACTATCATGTGGTTCAAAGAACCATAATATGCGATGTTGACAGAGCTGAGGGAGATAAAATAACGGGGCCTCGGTGGTGTGTCGCTGTAAACATCTGAATAAGCTCATGTTCCGTGCGGTGAGAATTGTAAGAGCGTCGCCAACGTTCCCACTTTCAGATGTAATATTGTAATATCCACGTTTGGTTTTGAAAGTTCTGTAATCAAACACCACCCCTCTAGAGTGTTTTACACTGAATAACACATTTGAGTAGGACAGAACTTTAATTTGCACTGCACTGATAAGGGGAGGGTTTTAGAGTACGTGAAATGTGGGCTTCGAATTGTGGGCTCCGAGTATTTTATTTTCAGAACAACACAGAAACAACGGCCCCAGTGAACGGAAGTGTTTTTCAGATTTACATTCTTTTAAACTGTAAACGATTCCAGGTGTGCATGTGATGAACCCAAAAACAGATATATTAATGTAGAGTTTGGGGGGGGGGGGGGGTTAAATTGCACTGCGCTCAGCGCTTTAATCAAATTCGAGAGAGTTTACATAAAGTCTTACACACTGGGTCACATTCACAGGAGTTTGACAGCGCGTGAAATAGTGATGCAAGGTGGTCGTAACAGAGAGCAATCATGTGATCAAATTGCTGGGAGGAGAAAATGGCACTTTATTCAATACTAAGGCGTACCGTATAGTAGAAGTTTTTGTTTTGATCAAAAAGGAAGACACCTTGTTCAGAGTGAGATTTGTACTAATGGATGTCAAGTAAAACGTTCGATTAAAATAGTCCACGGTGCAGGCCGAACTGTTTAGTAACACCATCTGTGGGTCGGTGGACTAGATATTGAACAAGTACGTACAGCTTGTGGGAATGGTCTTAACGCCCCGCGTGGCGGAGGGTATCAACAACAGTTCCCAATAAGAATAATAATCTAGAATACTCTTGAAGAAAGATACACTCAACTGTCGTTTTCACCTTGACAAACTAAGCTGAATAAAGCTTCCCAAGTTGCTTTAAGCTACCCAAGTTGATTTGAACTAAGCAGATTAAGTTAACTAAGCACACACTCACCTGTATCACATAGTTGCCGTACTGGTCCTGTACCAACTGCTCGGTATGGTCCAGCAGCTCGTCTAGAATCGGTCTGGTTTGAGAGGTCGGGCAATACTCCAGAATCCTCTGCAAATATAGGGTGTTATTCTCTTCCTGGGCGAAACCGGCCCAGCTTGAGAGTTAGCAACGATTTGAGTAAGAATTTGGTCAGATTATCCTCCCTTATCCTTATGGTTCTAATTCTCAGAAGGAGAACGCGCTGGACGTATCGGCATTATCACTTGAACGACGGGCCGTTGGCCAATCCAAAATAAATCTTCTCCCGATTTTGAGACAGCTTCCACTTAATTTAATCGATCTTTAAATAATACACGGTAGCAGCAGTCAGTCTGGGAGCCAACGCCCACAAAATCCATTAACTACTTCAGAAGAACTACTTTAGCTCTCTACTCAAGCCACGCAGCTATATTTCGAATATCCCATCACTTAGCGGAATTATTCACAGTGCACCACCCTACCCCCCCCCCCCCCCCCCTTCTTTCTTTTTTCTGTCTCTGGAATTTTACAACAAACAACACTCCCAATAACATTGCATCTGTACAGTGGGCGATAAGAGCTGCTGCTAGCAAAATAAAATTAGTAGATAAAGCTGTGGTCTCATTAAATTTACACCCACACACATGATATTTTAAATTTCGACACCCGACTAAACTGCGATGATGTGCGTTGTGGTGTGTACTTGTACTAAGTTTGTGTATGTGCTGGCTTTTACCGATATTATTCAATGCTTCTACGTACATAAGTAGGCAATTTTATTTCGAACCGAGAAAAGAAGGCAAAGAAATTTACAAAACTCTGTGGTCCACCATGACCCCGTGAGAAAGTGCCTCTAAATATAGACTCGATCGAGAACAGTAATTTGAAACTAAAACATGTTCATACCTGAATAACTCTGCAGCCGTACGCGTGGGTACTAAGCTTGTAGATTTCCCCCTTGAAGGAGTTGATAATGAATGACAGGGACTCCGGGTCAACTTTCTCAATACACTTTTGTACCACGTGGTTACCATTCTGGTCCAACACGCACTGCAACACATTCCCCTCAAGCTCTTTCACCTGAAAATATGTTAGGTTTATTCGTACTCATTTTAAATGCAGTCGGTTCATTCACAGTGGGATCGCTTTTGAGTATTACAATTCCGACTGTATTAATGGAATTCCGAGGAATGGGTTTTAAGAGCGATCTCTTAAAAACAGTAAGATTTAAAATGTTTGCAATAATCCGATCATTTTCAGAAGATGGGGATATAAGCTGATAGCTATTAATAATCTTTTGGGTCATGTGATGGATCCATCGATATAATAAGATAATTCGTTAAAACTGCGGTATTCAATCGCACGTGCAGGTAACAAACAAATGGGCTAACTAACTTAGTGAGGAAATAATTACATTTTAATCCATCCCATTGATAGGCAATTATAACAATGAATGAAGATCAAGTTTAGGAGGAGTACTTGGCATGACATGTACATACTCTATAATGAGATACCTGGCGTCAAATTAGACTTAAAACCTAAATAGCTTTAACTCTTAGACAACTCATAGGTCCCATGAATAGTACCGGATAAGAGCATTAAAACTGAGGTTATCGGGTTTTTTTAAAAGGAAAACAAAAACTCCTATTGTATCCCATTCAGTGGATACATAGATTCAACGTTTAGATCTATTTATATCCACCCACGACAGGTTATCTTAGTTTAAATGTTAGCATTAACTTAGTCAAGCAAAGTTAACATAACTTAATAAATAACCGAAGAACTGGTAAACAAAACAAACACGTACCAGTCCCCCTCGCTGCGTCCTGTTCACACATTCCAGAGCCTTCTGTATGACCCTGCAGCCGTACATCTGTAGAGCGAGATGGAGCATGTGCCCCTTGATAAGTCCCACAAGCTCCTCTTTCTGTGGTTCAGTTCCGTATTCAAAGAACTTTTGGATCACGTAGTTACCGAACACGTCTGAAAACGGAGAAAATATAATCGGGATTTTCAACTGAGTGGATGCTTCCATTCGTCTTCTTTGTCAAGTTATTTCTATTTAAATGAAAATTATAGATATTTTTGTAAATAAAGTTATATGTGAGTGAAAGGTGTGCGTGGTACTGTATTTCACTATCTTTATACTTGTGATGGAATGTCGATACTCGAGAGTGATGGATTGTCGAGAGTTTGGATGGATTATGAATAATGATTTATGAGATCTCAACAATATGGATAATATCATTTATTTTGACGGAGGAAAGCAAGATTGAATTAAAGTAATATTTGGTGACTTACTGTCAAGAGCTCGGACAAGTTGCCTTTGAAATGTTAAACGTTTTGTGATCATATCATATATGAGGATTTGAGCGCCACCTTACGATGAGGCTTTGAAATTGAAGATATTAAGTTCTTGTGACACATTAACCAGTAACCACCTTACACAGAATAAACATGTAATTTGCTGTGTCTTTTCTCTGAATGATTACCAAATTCTCTGAATTTCATCTCACAGTTTAACATTATGATGCTCCATTCTGTGAAACTGGTTCCCACATCACCACCCACCAATCAAATTTCCCCTCTCTATAAATTGACCGGGGGAAGTTGATATATTAGACTAATATCACCCGAACATGACTCGGAAGGGGAAAACAAAACCCTCATTTTCACATGTCAACACCCTTTATCCCTGTGTTCTCCCACACACACACCACGGTAATATGTACTCTTATTTTACATGCACTCTGATAACCCCTCCAAACTTTCATCATGTTGTTTGTTAATTACCCATTGAAATTGACTGACCCCGTTCACTAATTATTTGATTAACCTTCTTTCATCGCTCACAAATTACCAGATTCCAAATACGATATCATTATTGAGGTGAATTCTGTTATTTGATAACGTAATGGAGATTGTCATCACTCTTTAATCAATCGATAAAGTTACTTATAAAATATTACACATAATTTACAGTAAATAATTACTGACCGGTCATGAGCGAGTAAGCGGAGTCAAGTATCTCCCTGAACACCATGTTCTTCTCCGGATCAGAGGCTTTCTCCAGTTTCTGTTGGATGAACCGTGAGCCGTGTTGGTCCTTGCTGAACTCAACTATGTGGTGTTGGAGGTTTTTCAGCTGGAGTCCCGGACTCAGGTTGTTCCGGAAGTCTTCCAGGAGTCGTGATCTGGGGAGAGAGGGGTCAGTCAATGGAGAGAGAAAGAGAGTTGGAGACAAGGGTGGAGAGAGAGAGAGAGAGAGAGAGAGAGAGAGAGAGAGAGAGAGAGAGAGAGAGAGAGAGAGAGAGAGAGAGAGAGAGAGAGATAATGAGCAGGTGGTAATGGTTTATAATCATCACTTACATCTTTGTTACATGGGGCGCAGGTGTGCGTGATTTAGAAATAATTATTTGACATGATTCATTATTACCACAAACGAATTATTACCACAAACGAACTTTATTGAGCTACTAAAACTAACTAAACTTAGGACTGACCTCTGGGGTTCCTTGTTGTTGGTTGAAACGTTCCCACTGCTGCTGTTGGTGCTGTTCCTCTTGAAGGTCTGGCAGGACATGCTCTTACAGAATCTCTTCTGTACTCCGTGCACACAGGTGTGGAACATTGCTCCGTTCTGCAGTCCGCCGGGGGTTGCCGCTCCACTCACTGAAATGGTTGCAATGTCAAAAATGATTGAAATTTAAAAATTGCAGCTTTTTTTTCCTACGTATTCTTCGATTGTCGAAGTATGAGTTTAACAAGTCGAGTATGAGTTTAACAAGTTGAAAATTTTCGGTTTCCTCCAATATCACGAACACTTTTTATCTGAAAACCTCGTTACATATCTATGACAGTGTTTCGAATTCCGGGACAAATTTCACAAAAATATGCTGTTATATCTAACATCACAGCGGATTAGGATATTTTGAAATTCAATTTATAACACCGGCCACGGTTAAGGAATTTTAGGGTACATCCCCTAAACTTGCCCGACTTTTGTTACATTTATAAGCTTAGCCTTTTCATACATCTCAATTCTCGTAATAGCGGCGTCATGAAATAACCGCCTATTAAATTCTGAAGAGTACCACACAGAAAACAACGCGGAAAGTTCACATATTTCGTGATTATGATGCTCGAGAGGCGGCTAAAGTTTCAACATCAAAAACAGATACCACATGATAAAGCATTTACAAAAACGACTATCGGGCCGATATGAACTGAAACATCTTTCCAATTTATACACGGTTCAGTGATATGCCTAGTTCTACATTATTCTAGCTGATATCGCGGAATTAAATCTTAATAATAGTTTATATTTGGGGAGTATAGCTGATATTTTATGATAATAGCAGATAAGGTGAGATTCTAGCTGATATTTAAGGATTATAGCTGATATTTTATGATAACAGCAGATAAGGTAAGATTCTAGCTGATATTTAAGGATTATAGCTGATATTTTATGATAATAGCAGATAAGGTGAGATTCTAGCTGATATTTAAGGATTATAGCTGATATTTTATGATAATAGCAGATAAGGTGAGATTCTAGCTGATATTTAAGGATTATAGCTGATATAATATTTCTTTGTAGCAGTGTTATCTTATATAATATCGTAGGCGGTAACAACACACTGACTCTATCCCTACTCTCGTTGGTCGTGTAACATACCCGCATCCCAATCTGCCATATAAGGTCTGATTGCTACCTTTTTCAACGAGAAACAGTTAAACCATTTTAAATAGAGTTAGCTAGTTATACTTGTAAATTAACTCGTGTTTACGGCCTACAGCCTCCTGTCGCGGACCCGGGTAGGGCCTAAACACTAAACACTAAACAGAGAGAGAATTTGTGGAGATTACAGACACTAATTTTCGGTGAGGAGTATTGTATGAGCGTTGATCAAATACCATGCTGAATCTCCTTCAGTGTATAATTATTTATTATCGAGCTAGAGTATGTATAATGTCGGTAATTTAACTCACTTATGACCTACATGTAACTTACTAAAGCAACTAAACTCATTAATACAATTTTATTAGATTCCATTCTGAGGTTTTGTCTTTTATGCAGATGTTATTATAAAATATGTAATACTTTAAATTGTACTTATTACTTTAGAACATGGAATTTAAATGAATCGCCACTTAGGCCTACTTAGCCACTTTGATACGTAATATGAATTGCGTTAAAATAATGTTGAATTATTCGAGTTCATTTGTCAAGAATTACCGCCAAAATACGTGACTGGAGAAGTCTAGCCAGGATTGATCACTTAATATCCCTTAATATACACTTTCACTACAGAAATGAAATAATTCTAGGGAAACTGACATTTATATTACAACATTGGTATAATATCTAAACCGAAACTTTACGTTTACTTCTGTAGACATTGCCATTTATTGCCATTTACTGCGTGTGGTTTTACAGATAACATTCCAGAAAGTATTCCAAGAATGCAAGGTACTTATTTTATCTTATTTTCAAAGCGAATAAACCTGCGTAATATATTGCGACAGGAATTGCTCTGGGCTCCCACTTACAATACCAAGCATCATTCCCCGTCAAAAAACGTCAAACTTATCGAGACTACATACTTTGTCCAGAGTTATTCAGCTTATCCTACCATTTCAGGTATCCCGATACGCAAGAGAGATTTAGCAATTGCGTCAGGACACTGTGTCCAAGAAGTAAACTCAACTGTAAATTCTTAAAATAAATAACCCCGGATTGATTTTTAATAAATGGTCAGGTTTAGTTCCTACCTTGTACCAACTCAACGCGACAGTATCTAAATATTAGCGTACACTGTATCTTCACCTGACGTCACAACACGAAGTGTGATGAACACAACATATACACTAGTATATTCTTTACTCTATATTCAGCTTATTAGTTATTACCAGTATATTCTTTATTCTATATTCAGCTTATTAGTTATTACCAGTATATTCTTTACTCTATATTCAGCTTATTACCAGTATATTCTTTACTCTATATCCAGCTTATTACCAGTATATTCTTTACTCTATATCCAGCTTATTACCAGTATATTCTTTACTCTATATCCAGCTTATTACCAGTATATTCTTTACTCTATATTCAGCTTATTACCAGTATATTCTTTACTCTATATTCAGCTTAGGGTCAGCTTATTACCAGTATATTCTTTACTCTATATCCAGCTTATTACCAGTATATTCTTTACTCTATATTCAGCTTATTACCAGTATATTCTTTACTCTATATTCAGCTTATTACCAGTATATTCTTTACTCTATATTCAGCTTATTACCAGTATATTCTTTACTCTATATTCAGCTTATTACCAGTATATTCTTTACTCTATATTCAGCTTATTACCAGTATATTCTTTACTCTATATTCAGCTTATTACCAGTATATTCTTTACTCTATATTCAGCTTATTACCAGTATATACTTTACTCTATATTCAGCTTATTACGGGCCCTCCGTGGAGTAGTTGGAGGACCCTTAGGCGAGACAGTCGAGTGGACATGCTTGATTCATTAACGCGGTTTACACAGTGAGCCAGGACACGCTTCTTATAATTATCGTGAGTATATTGTTGTTACATACGTTATTTTACTACTGAGACAGTGAGATAACCCTCAAGCGTTTAAGAAGGATCAGTTAGTCAATCTTCCAATAGTTTTGAATTGTGAAACAGATGGAAATGCTATTGACATGAGTTGTAAGTACAGGCTTCTTTCTGACAAGCTGCATCATTCAGAACTAAATTCCACAAAGACAGTGTGTTACGCCTCTCTAGAAGTCCTCAAAAACACTCTAGAGGTCCTTAAACACACTCTAGAGTAACAACTCTAGAGGTCCTCAAACACACTTTAGAGGTCCTTTAACACACTCTAGAGGTCCTCTAATACACTCTAGAGTAACACACTCTAGAGGTCCTCTAACACACTCTAGAGGTCCTCAAACACACTCTAGAGGTCTTCTAACACACTCTAGAGGCTAGGTCCTCTAACACACTCTAGAGGTCCTCTAATACACTCTAGAGGTCCTCTAACACATTTTAGAGGTCCTTTAACACACTCTAGAGGTCCTCTAATACACTCTAGAGTAACACACTCTAGAGGTCCTCTAACACACTCTAGAGGTCCTCTAAGTTAGAGGACCTCTAGAGTGTGTTAAAGGACCTCTAAACTACAAAATGATTGGAACGTACGTTCAGTACGACTAAGTTCAGCGTTCACTACAACTAAGCCTCTAACACACTCTAGAGGTCCTCAAACACACTCTAGACTCTAGAGGCTAGGTCCTCTAACACACGTATCATACATTCTCACTTTCCCTCCGCTATTGTCTGGCCGGAAATTTGATATTTTCAGTGCGTTCACTCGACACACGCATTCCGCAGGTGTTCTAAATAATATAACACAAATCTTATCAGCTCGTCGGGAGGCTCACATGGTACACTTATATATTATATATACTTTCCGAACCACTGTCTTACTTGCTGTAAATATTATATAACAAAGGGCAAATATAATGGAGTGAGAATAATAGACGGCAATTATCACGGGAGAGGAGTATTTATTTATAGTAGTGGTCAAGGTGGTCAGATTAGGACTAGTCGTCGTTAGCCGTTAGGTAACTTACTTCTCACAATAGAAATACTTCACATTTCCATGTTGGAGCTTTAAATGTATTCTATAAGTTGATAAAATAATAAAAAGCATACTCTTATAAAGGAGACAATATTATATTTGTTGAGAATCGTGCGGTTATGGTTCTATTTATATAATATATGTATTTAACAAAGGGCAATATAGGGGGGGGGGTCCAAGGGGAACTTTGGGGAACTTTTTTTTGGGGAACTTCAGGAAACCTGGGGGACTTTCCCAAAGTTCCCCAAAAAATTATCAATGAAACAAATAATTTTGGGGAATTTTGGGGAACTTTTTTTTGGGGAACTTCAGAAAGTTCCCCAAAATTCCCCAAAATTCCCCAAAGTTCCCCAAAGTTCCCCAAAAAAATTATAATGCCAAACAAATTATCATGCTGCAAGTATCAACAAGTAAGTTAAGATTATACCTTATAATAACATACATGTTAACATTAATGGGTATTAATGTATATTAGAGAAATTTTGAATAATTTTGAATAATTTTAAATAATTTTGAATAATTTTGGGGAATTTTGGGGAACTTTGGGGAGTTTTGGGGAACTTTTTTTTGGGGAACTTCAGAAATCTTGGGGGACTTTCCCAAAGTTCCCCAAAGTTCCCCTTGGACCCCCCCCCCCCCCAATATAATAGAGTAACCATAATAGAAGACAATTATAATAAGATTGTTAAGTGTTTTTTCTATACTGGGTTAATGATATGGTCAGATTTGGATAAAATGACCATTGGATAACTCAATTAATTTAGTTCTCACATTAATAAATACTTTGCATATTCAACTTATTTAAGCAACCGAATTTATGAACACAAAATTAGATTCCATACTTTAGTTTTCTCCTTAGATGCTTTACGTTATATGATACTTTAAATTGCATACTTCTTAGCTGTCACGAGGAGAAATACTTCACATTTTCACGATGCTGCTCTAACTCAAGAAAATAAAATAATAAGTGATCTTTTAACAGTGAAAATACTTAACTTTTTATTTCACAACATTCATTATTAAGGGGATCACGATGTAAATCTCACGTTAGGGTAATAAGTTCTGGGTTATTAACGTCTCTCCCCATATAACGGAATAATAGCACATAATAATGTACCGTCACAATAGTAATATATAATATGTAAAGTGTGTCAGAACATTTATATTGCTGAATTGTAAGATACGCATGATCTGCACTGATGTAACGCCACTGCACAGTAATTGAAACGAAACTGTATCACTCATTGCATCATCTGTATTGTTCATTATGTAAAACCGTGAGTTTGTGAGACAACTAGCCCTACTTGTGAATATCGTATTACCAGACCATTGCGAAACTGCTCAAAAATTATCCACATCAGTTGGGGCTCTACGCACCTAATTTATTAATATGTAAACATAATGTAATAAATTATAGTTCATCACCAGCCGGACAACCACACTCATTAGCTTTAAATACTAGTTCAGCTGCTGAGTTCGTCTAAAGTCACCATAACGTCCCCCGGATCTAAACTATATATTTGACCACAGGAAGTAGAATTTATTTTACATTTTGTACGCGCTATGTATAACTGTAAGGTTAACAATTACAGCTTATGTGTGAGCGAAAGTGACCCACTAGAGGACAATTCCCCGCCTTTAAAATAATGTGCATTACAAATTACCGAGTTAAGGTAACACAGAGTACAGACCATGGTCCACAGTCCACACTAAGTCAGCCCCCTTTTAATTCCAGTAAAATCTACATGTTATCATTTTCATATAAAATACGTACCGGGTGATATTTCTGATATATAATATAGAACTGATATTTGATCTGAGGGAACAAAGAAGGTATTGTCGTGTCACCATGATGGGGGCCTTCTTGATATTTTCCAGGCTCAATTCGATAACGTGAGAAGAGAAACATTGAACATTCCCAAGATTTTATAAGGGTTCATAGTAGGAGAAAGGAGGAGACCCGTGTGAAAGCAATCTGTTAATAGGTGAGAACATGCCATTACAGAAACTGGACTCGGTGACTGAACTCAACATGTATCGTTATCAGGTTTTATTGTGCTCACACAACAATCAACACACAACCCACATCAGTAATTTAATTACCCAACTTAATTCAGTTACTTAATTGATTAGTTAATTAGTGGTATCTAACCTGGGGAGTTGTTGGGTTTGCAGATGTCCTCAACAGAGTTTATGTACTGCCCTGAGAGCAGCTGTTGGATGAAGTCTTGTTGCTGGTTTCCCATCATAGCAGCGGGCTGCTCCTCTTCTTTGTACTGAAACACGATACCCGCTCGTTAATTGGCTAATTAATTGGATAATTGGATTCGAGATTCGGAGATAGCGTCATTATATCATAACTCGTTAATGTAGAGGAGTCGTCACGGGGTTTTAATTGTCGGGAAATCATTTCTAAGGAAGGGAAATTATGCAGTGTAAAAAAATGAGCCAATAAAATGGTTTTACGTCTAATCCGCGCTCTAATCAGATCTAGGATTAATAATATACTCTAATGCATTGCTTCTGGCATTAATCTAAAGATTGGATGTAAAGCCTCTTGGGCAGGAGGCTGGCTGGTCAGTGGTCTTGTTTCAACGACAGAACAACAATTAATTATACATTACTACGCCGGTTAACTGACCAATCATTCTAAATGAGATGAGGCAGACTGAACAGATTCTACAGAAAGGTTTTGAAGAGGTTAAGTATGTGCTGAATGGGAATGTTACGAATTGTGGAATCGGATTCGTTTATAACGCCATATATAAATCAATTATCAAATTATAGGCCCCTATCTGAATCAAATTTTAGATTACCAATAAGGGTAAGCGGGACTATTTTTAGATGATAGTTTATTCCCTTTATTACGACAAATAATGACACTAATTTGGGTGAGAATTTGTTCTCAGACATCAGTATTCTCGACTCCGACTTCGTTAAGAGATGCAGACACTCAGAAAATAGCTGATCCGGGAAATTCTTTGAACGTTAACATAAATAAACGAACAGTATTACTCTAGTAGCAGGGAATATAAACAGTATTACTGTAGTAGCAGGGAATATAAACAGTATTACTCTAGTAGCAGGGAAGAGTATTACTGTAGTAGCAGGGAATATAAACAGTATTACTCTAGTAGCAGGGAAGAGTATTACTGTAGTAGCAGGGAATATAAACAGTATTACTGTAGTAGCAGGGAATATAAACAGTATTACTCTAGTAGCAGGGAATATAAACAGTATTACTCTAGTAGCAGGGAATATAAACAGTATTACTGTAGTAGCAGGGAATATAAACAGTATTACTCTAGTAGCAGGGAAGAGTATTACTGTAGTAGCAGGGAATATAGACTGGTACCTGATTGTATGCCCCCATCTGATGGTAGCCTCCAGGACCCCTAGTGTAGCCTCCTGGCATGACCCCGTAGTTTGAACCATACTGGTTGACAGCCACTGCTGATAGCTGGTCAGGCTGTCTGTATCCTGACATTAGCTGCACGTTCTGCATCATCTGCACACGTCAATATGTTAGGTTTAATGGTTAATATCAACTGATGGAGCAGTTATGATCTGCGACCAGTGATAAATAAAATTTCATTGCTTCAACCTAACACGCTTCGTGTGCTCACACGGACTCTATCACTAATAACTGAGTACTACGACTGTAGAATATAAGGTAAGTTGTTACCCACAACACGATTCCACAGGCTTGTGAGTTTACTGAGATGATCAGGTCATAATGACGTCATCAAACACACGCAGACACACAGGAACACCTTTATGACTACATCAGATGATCATTTCTCATCACAAACACACACACGCTGTACTCTCAGCGCCTTAACCGGGCCGGCCATATGACCAAATGTTGGGACACACTTTATCATTCCGTGCTAGCCTCTTTTAATTTCATCTACACTCGATATCACTTACCCGGACACGCTACCTTTATGACTGTGTAATGTGTACGCTATCTCACGTATGAAGGTTATCTTAGGGAGATATCATGGGATTTTCAGGACACACCCTGGACCTACAGATTAATTTGTGGGGTCTGCATGTGGTACCACCCCTGCATGTACATGCTACATGGCTATTACTCTGGATTAAATTCATTCAGGGAGACAGAATACACTTCTAGGGAAATTTGATATCAGAGAACAGGCATCAACAACAGCCCGACAGGGGGGACACATAACTCGACATCGATTTCTGGGAATTTCTGCATGTTGAAATTTCCTTGCACGTTAAAAATGTCTGTAATTTTGACATTTTGGCTTTATCGCCATGTCGAAAAACAAACTTCGACGTTCAGTTCTATTTATCAAAAACTTGAATAACGAATATATATCCGGCTTCATCCGAGACTATCTTTAGAGATCACGCACAACAGAAGATATGTAGACCGCAGGATCTTAGGATCTCCTTCACAAGCATTTGAAATAACAATCTCCCCTCTCTCTAGACCACATACTCACACAGACCTCCTTCAGCCTCCTTAAACTAAAACACACACCTATCTACAAGTGTTCTAACCTGTACTATAGCAGCGATCTGTTGAGCGTTGTTGTCGATGTGGTTGTTAGGGTAGGCTACCACGCCCTCGTGCTCACCCTCGTAGTTCTTCTCGTACATGTAGTCCTTCGTGCTCATGCCCTGAATAAACAGGAGACTGTTAGGGTGGAATTCGTGGAAACAGCGGCTACAGATGTTGTAAGTAACTGTTGTGAATGGCAAGTAAATGTTGTTAGGTTGCAAAAGTTGTTAATGACAACAGTTGTTAGTGGCGACAATCATTATGTGGCAACAATTGTTATGTGGCAACAGTTCTTAGTGGTAACAGTTGTTAGGTGGCAACAATGAGGATCTTTAAATGTACATCCCTGTATTATAGCAGATCAAACATTTCCGTGTGGTACGCCATTTAGGAAGACAAATAACCTTCATCATTTTCGACTAACAAAAAGACTAAGCGGACAAAATATATATATCATCAATTACATGATTATATAACTGAATAAAGTAAGGTGTCATTTCGGTCATAACACAACGAATAATCATCTACATATAAACCACAAAACATCGTACAGCAGGCTACTGAACTATACAATATGTGTGTCATAACACCTTCATAATATAACATCTTAACACCAACATAATTATAAGCAGTAGGATTGTGCAACAACGAATGAGGGGTATACGACGGTAATAATTCATATTCTCTCAATGTGGCAACTCTTTAATGAACTCTTTCTGCAGAACTATTTAGAGGACTTTTCCATTCGATGCAGTGGTTTAAAGTTGAAAACGCTATGGTAAAATTACAACATAGCATGATGTAGTAACCGGCGTATTAGCTCCATATTTTGCAGACCAGCACATACTCACAGGGAACGAACAAACGGACGTTTAGTACGAGAAGGCGTGACGTCCGACAAACCATTATCCATTCAATGATTTGCAGGTTTGGAACTCATTAGTTGGACATGTGTTTCAAAGGAAGTAGTCCTCGTAAAGTTTTCAGTTGAATTCCGTGGTTAACTCCGATTTTACCTTGTATCACACACACACGGACTTAATTACCACGTCTTGTTACACACAAACAGACGCACAGACGGACGGACACCTGCAGTCCTGCAGTACTGGGTTATGTGGCCGGGGGGAAGTGGCGTCTAGACTCCTCTTCCGGATCCGAATGTAAACACGGTGAGCAGCCCGCTGCTCTACGAGTATTGAGACTCATACTATATTACAAATAATGTATCTTCCCGACGTATTCCCACACAAATAAACGTGTGTAACATATAATACACTACTAGTTTAGAACTATCGGCTGCCAGCAATTAATCTCATCAATGCCAATTATGAGAAAGATCGGTTATCATATCAGGTGCTACTATCTGGTTCCAAAATCGTTAGTTATTCAACGAAAATAAAGATCCAACACACAAGAGACAGAGGACAAAAGAATTTGGCTAAGATTGTAAATGAAATGAATATATCGTAGTTACATATTAAAATCGCGAACTCCATGTTTAAAAGTAGTCTTACACGAAAGCGCAGTAAACATTCACACACATACTCTTGGAAGGGAGGAACACAGCAACAATGTAAACTGAGATAATTATATATTTTCTAGAGCTCTACTCGGCATATTGGTGTAATAGTTTCGTTACACAAGTTTGAAGAGGAAAATAGTTTGTTCTGTTCGGATATCTCTAGTATAATTGTGGGAAGGATGATACGATTCATGGCGGATCTTTCTGCAGAAGGAAGAAGCAGCAGTGTACTCATAATTACCGTAAAATATGGGCAGGAATAAAGGGATACGTAATAGCAAGAGATGGGCGGGAAAAGTAGGCATAGAAAGTAGAGAATGTGCAACTTTGTTAAGTCTTGGCGGGAAACTGAACATAGAGTATAGATTATATATTATACAGTATAACTATAAGAACCCTACTAGAAGTAAGGATATATTCTGGCCAGTAATTTTGCGATGTTGGATGTAGCGGGAAAATGGTGTTTTTATAACGGAGATCCGTAAATAAAGTGCGATGAAACAAGAGTAACCGTATGCGTATGACAGTGTAACAGTGTCGTTGGTAGATAAGATTAGATGGTAAAGAATGAAACACAGTACGGTGTAAAGGGGGTTTGTGAAGGAGAACTTACTGAAACACAGTACGGTGTAAAGGGGGTGTGAAGGAGAACTTACTGAAACACAGTACGGTGTAAAGGAGGTTTGTGAAGGAGAACTTACTGAAACACAGTACGGTGTAAAGGGGGTGTGAAGGAGAACTTACTGAAACACAGTACGGTGTAAAGGGGGTTTGTGAAGGAGAACTTACTGAAACACAGTACAGTGTAAAGGGGGTGTGAAGGAGAACTTACTGGAACACAGTACAGTGTAAAGGGGGTTTGTGAAGTTAACTTACCAGTTCCTGAGACAGAAAAGCAGGAAACAGAGCAGACATAACAGAACACAGCTGTAAAACACTGTTAGAGACGGAGTATGTAAAACAATAACAGATGAAAGGAAAGAGATGCTCTCAAATGACAGTGATCAGGTAATGAGGCCGGGCAGTCAAACCTCTACATTTTATACGGCTCTCTCTCTCTCTCTCTCTCTCTCTCTCTACAAAGATACGGAAAAGCTTGACACCGGTCACACTACAGCTGTTCCCGGAAGCTTGCGAAATTCGATCGGTGTGTTAACTACAGGTTGTAGCTTCACGGTGGAAGCTATCACAACACAATTAGTTGATGAGCCTCATTACAGACCACCGGAATCCAGAACCCCTCCAGCTGCGGAATCAACTCTCAATACCTGCCCTCTCTGGTAACCTGATTCCCGGAGATTGTCAAGCAGCTTGTGGTATAACCTGTCACAGCACTACCCACACAAATCTGGGACAGAGTCTGAGACTCTCTCGAGTGTAATGGGGTATCACGTGATTACTTTTAGAAGGGGCGGTGAATGTGCAGAGCTACTTACAGTGAGGTGTGGTGGGTGTTTGTGAGGTGTTGCTGCTGCATGACTCGCAAGTCATGCAGCAGCTAGCACATAACCCATCACCGATATCAGTGCATAACAAGTACAGGAGATCTGAATATGGTATTATTGGTATGTAATGGTATAATCAGGACACCCCACCTCAGCATCATCGCACGAACTATATACTGGGAGTATTGTGTGAACTAGAAGTGACACAAACAGCGAGGCTGAATAGATATAGAGAGAGAGAGACCAAGCTCAAACAACAAGTTGTAAATACCAACGTCTGCAGTGTCCAGTACAAGGCATTTTTAGCTATGTACTATCGGCCCATACAACTAAATGGAATCCGGTATGGCATTCATTCCCGCAATACTATTCCAACAGGTTTTACGTTCAACAGGTTTTACGTAATATTTCTATATCGTCCACGGAATCCAGCTGAGAGCTTTACCAGCACTACGTCTGCTGAAATAGATTTCGACTAATGAGCTCCAGCTCTTTGCAGATCAAACGTTCAAAACACCTGCTGTATAACGATAACTAATTTTAATTAGCTGACAATAACCACCATGATTGACAGCTCTGTGATCTGCTTCATTCTCGTGTAGTGCGGAACAATTTACCTTAACAAACACAGATATCTAGACAAATTATCGTGTAAGCAGACGGTAGCGAGATACCTTGCTGGCCATTACACCAAATATATTTGCGTGGCTATCTATCTCGGGATGAAGAAGCGGTGTTATGTAGAGCTGCCAGCTTACTTTCTACATCCTGCCGGGGTCTACTCCAGCTTTATCAGAGCTCTCTACTTCTAGCTAGATCTTGCCACATTTTCATGATTTAGTTTAGTTTCTCAACCATTGCATTGGATTCAAATAAAGGTTTAGTTGTCTTAAACGTTGGCCTGAAATCAAGATTCAGGATGAGCTACTAACGGCACTGTTTGGCCCCTGCACCAAGAGATTCAGAGCACTTTCTGTCTAGTCTAGACCGGTTAGCAGGGGGCTAGAAAAGACGCTGTTCTCAGTGAGAGACGACACAGGGGGCTGTTCTCAATGAGAGAGGGATGGTTGTTAATTAACCATAACACATATTCACCATCTACCCACCCAGCATCCCAGACACCCTGTAATTCCCCTCATGTAACAAACTGCTTCCTCATTGGTCAGACATGACCATGTGACTCAGTCTCTGGGGTCACGTGACATACTCGCAAGGTTGTTATTGGTTACAGGCTGTCACCATGGTGTCTGAATATGGAGGAAATGTTCAGGAAAGATACACGAGGGTGACTAGACAATGATGGTGGGACTCAGGAAAACCAAATAGACGCGGTGTACCAGGGCAGGTAGTGTGTTTGAGAGAGATTCTAACACATACATCTTGTCAGCGTGTGTAATACACAGCACACAACATTGTGACAGCAAGTAAACAAAAGTGACCTTCATTTAAAACAATAACCGTGTTGAAAACTTGGCACTTTTGATTTCGTGTAACCGATTTCAAGAACACCTACTTCTAGACTAAATATTAAGGAACAACGTACCAGTTTTTCTTGGTTGCTGGGAGGAGTACCCAGAACATATTCTGCCATTTGCAGTCCTAATCCTCCCTGAGCTCTTGTATCTGTTTCTGGTACCGTTGTCCACGGGCTCCTGTTTGAGTAATCTGACCAGCCCGCTTCACTCTGAAATTATAATATTAGAATTTCACAGATTATTCCAAATTTGTTAATACTAGTCGAGTAAAATTGAAAATGTGGCGCTCAGTTGCACAACATGTCCGAAATTTGACGAATTATACCCATTATAAGCAAAGGTAAGTCCAAAATTGGAATGTTAAAAGATGGTGGAAGATGTGCGTAGATGGTGTGATGTGGGTGAATTTAGTTGGTGTGTGAGGGTGTGTGTGTTGGGTGTGTTTGATGTTGCGCTGATCAATGCACCCCTAGGAAAGTGAACCAGTTGCAGTATGTGGTTTTAATCATATGATTCCTTGGAAAGTAACCTTAGATTCCTCACCTAATGTCGCGCGACACAGCATCACGTGATGGTACGATGATGAGGGTCACTTTGTCGGTATTTGGGAGAGCAGACACATTTAGCTGCTATTGGTTAACAGTATACCACCCGACCCATGAGGTCAATACACACCCGTGCACCAATAGAAGATAATGGGGGCTAAAACATGGAACTGCTGCATTACACTCACCCACAGATTTTCTACGAGGAGTGAATTGTAGATCACATTTTGGGGAGTGACAAGAGGTGGATGCTACTTGTTCTGCCATTATTGTATCGGTTTTAAGTGATGTGATGACTATGTGATGGGAGGGTAGTGTGATATTGTGGAGTGAAGCCGTGAAATGTTGTGTAGTGAAATGATCTAATGTTTAAAGTTAAATGTTTCTCGATTATTGCAGGCTGATTAGACTATCAAGAAACATTCTGAGTCTTTAAACTTGGGTTTGTAGTGAACGTGATGTGTAGTGTGCTTATAGTGTGATGATTGTGGAGATTTAGCTCAATTTGAGCAGATTCAGAGATCTAAAACTCACCGTCTCAGTTCTGCGGCTTATTTCTGATACCATAATAAAAATATATACACTGAGTGGTTGAATTAGTACAGATTACAATTGTGCTAGTCAGCAGTTCAAAGATAAATCTGTAAAAATAATAACGAAATATTGGTTTAAATAATGCATTTAAAAGATTCATCTGATAGTCAAAACGTTTACACAATACAATCAATTGTGCAAAACAAATGACATCTTAGCTTGACGAAAAGCAGACAAGCGCAAGTGCTTAACATGCATCAAACCAGTAGACAATCATCTCGCGCACTGTTGCTTATCAAGAAAATATGGCGGGAAATTCATATTAAGAGGGACAAGCAATTATGTTGTCAACAAAAAGAAACTTGGCAGATGGAATACATAAGACAGGACAGACGGTATCGAAATACCGAGCAAATTATACTCGACCGGATAAAGGATCGAAGAAAATATTTTTAGTGTAAAGGAGAAGGAGGCGTGGATACACTAGATCATAATTTAGTACAGAGATAAAGTATACGTAAAGTTGCGACGGTAAATGCTTAACATCGCAATCACATGATGTAATAGATCGAAGGCAGCGAATAACAATTAAGGTAGGTTTTCTCAAAATAATAACCATGATATCTAGATGAATGTGTCATTTTGTATCTTCTCGGCATTCACAATATTCCTATTAAGCATTGTAGCTCTGATATGTTAAGGCCCGGTCGGGGGAAGTAAAACCTGTATTCGAAAAATAAAATCGCATGAAATCATCACAACTACATGATCAACCAACATCCTGTATATGGTTCTTCGCCTTCAGGGCGTGCAAATGTTCAGTCTTAAGAGAAGGTGCATTATAGTCAAAGGAAATTACAAAATCTCGAAATTAAATTATTCTACTGCAGGGGATTATTAGGATATCGAAAACTGATATGCTCATTAGTTCGACAATTATATTTAGAGATCGCTATTACAAAAACTGCTAGTCACTTCGGAAAATAACAACAGCTTATTCATACATGACAAGGTAGATAGGAGGTTAATGACTCAAGGGTAGACATTACAAATGTGTAAAAATGTTCTAGTTTACTGGAAGCAATGAAGCTGCAAGCATGTTAGTACAAGATGTCAGTGACTCAGATATACTGGAGAGCAACTCGAAAGGTGACCAACTAAAATGCTTTAGCTAATGAATGCAAAATAAAAGAATACCCATAATATGTGAACAACAGAACGTGGGGTTGACACGCACAAAACACACACCACATCGCTAAAGAAAAGGCGGCAATGAGCTGATGTAAAACGTGGTACGGCTAAAGGAAGCACGAGTTGAAGGGGTATAGCGCTCGATTCCACTTTTCTATTTCAAACCCTGGATGCCCATGATGAAACTTTTGACGCGCGCGCACCATCACTATTTTCACAATTTAACTCAAAATTATGAATTAGTTCACAGTGTGCGCCGTAATTTTCTATCTAAAAAAATTATACTCTATTTAGATTTTTAAAGTTTCGTTAGTAGAAGATTACCAAAAATGTGCCACAGCTTTGAAACTGGCATTTGTTTATTTTTTGACAAATGATACACTAAATTTTTAACAATTTAATGATATTAAAAAATAAATTTTGTGTTGAGTGTTGAGACCTTGGACCTAAACCAATTTAAATTTTTTACTAAAGTTTGCGCAAAAGCAACAAAAAATAAATAAAAGCTATGTAAAATTAATATTTTTTATAAACGATAAAACTGAAAACACAAAAAATTTAAACATTAAAAACGTCATCATTTCGCTTCAAAATCGTTGCCATACCAATCAGCAGTATAAAAAGCAACAATTTTTATTTCATTTTAACCATTTACGCTGATTCCGACCATGAATTCTTTTTTGTTTTCATAGATGCTAGAGTTATGAGCAAACATATGTTTGTCAGACGCGCGCACGCAGCATGTGAAATGTTTGTAAAACATTAATTAGACTGTTAAGGTATTTAGCAAGATTATGTTTAATTTTGGGATTGAAGTAATGGCGGTTTGTATCACGTGGTGACCCCCACGGTCGCTTCACTATAGTAGCGTCTTCGACGCTACAGGGGGAGCCGCGCACTTCGTGCGCGGCGGGTCATACAACGTATGACAAATGGCGGTTAAAATAAAAATTAGAGTCTAATAGTAATAATTTTGAATTTGTGTGCCTTTACTGGGCCGCGCTCAGCCTGTCATTCCGCCTAATTTCTATTCGTTTACCAACATTAAAGCCTGGGGTCCTCAGGTAAGTGCGCCTAAACTTTTTGGTTGACGATGTCAATCCATCGAGATCGTTGCTCTGCGATCGATGCGAAGCAAGAATGCTAGTTCGCGCGGCGCGTCGAAGCGGCGAAGTCCTCCAACTAAACTTTTTTATTTTAACATTCGCCATAAAATCGAAATTAAATCAAAGTTCTCAAAAATATTTGAATATACAGTAAGTTAAAATGTGATTGCGCCCGTAAAAATGCAAAATGATGAACATTATGCTAATTTATTATTTATATTTATTTGGTCATTCAACGTATTGAAAGATTTTGCAGAAAATAATTGTTAACTCATATAATACCTAGACTGTGATTTTTTGAAATTTTAAAGTTATTTTTATGTTTTAAGAAAATTGAAACATTGAAATGCCGCGCATGTTTGAAAAATATTATCGAAATCGAGCGCTGGTGATCTTTATTTAATGAACCGTGTGAATCACAATGCACAATGGTTATTAAGGAGCAACAAATATTTTTGGACTACAAAGGTAGCACTACATGTTAGCTGTCTTGCACGGGAAAAATTCTCAGTTAAGCACCGAGTGGAACAATTTTGCATCACTGAGTAACAATTCTGATAAGTTCTGGCATGGGATAGATCATCAATCATGTCAAAGATCTCTTAAAGATATTTGTTGTGGATTACATCGAATTTATCCATTAGCTGTCCAAATACTACCCTGGTATTAATTAATAATAAGGGATACAACATGGACATAAATCAATCGTGTCTTGTGCCATCCTCAGTGGCCTTGTATTGCTAGCTCTCACTAAATCGCTAGCATTAATTTAAAAAAATTATTGTGAAAAGGCCCTGACGGTGTGAAAATAATCTAGTTAAGTGTATTTGTGGACGCTGATTCCGAATAAGAAAAGCTTCTCTTCAAAACTCTTTCAAAATCTCTTCTTCTATTTTGATGATTTTCGGTTTATCAGAGCTTTTTCTTGGGAATAGAACTTTCAATACCTCAATCGTGTCTTGTGCCATCCTCAGTGACCTTGCTAGAGGGTCATTCAAGAATAATTCATTTAAAATAATAAAATTTGGGTTGCTGATAGCTGAAATCTGAAAATGTCCTACTGGTAAAGTAAAGTAAAGTAAAGTTTATGACATCTTTGGTTTGGCCAACTACGGAGCTGGTTTGTTCAGTATGAGCAGATCTGGTCTTAATGTGGTATCAAACAGTAGATGCAGTAAAAGTAGCAGTAAAATGAAGTAAGTCCACAGTTCTTTTCTTCCGGAGAGGGTGAGACCATATTGGAACAAACTCCCCTCGGATGTCAAGAATTGTGGGACTGTGTTAAGTTTTAAAATGAATTAGAGGCTTTCAAAAAAGAGACTATTTCAAACGGATCTGTAAATGACAGTCATTTTTGGTATGTTTCGGACGAAGTATTAGGAAAGATTGAGGGATTAAATTATGCTACTAATAAAGAGAAGCACAATGAATATCTTTTGTGTAATCGTCATGTTGCTAAAAAACGCTTCATCAACTGATATAGTAGTGGAAAGTATGTAAATTAGATTCATTTTAACTTGTTAACTTGGTTGTTTAGGCCAATAGATTTAAGATAATTTTTAAACTTTAGTAGATATATTTTTGATGATGTGTGATGATGTTTGTGTCATTATATTTTGATTTCATTTTTATTTTATCATCACACATGTCTACAAAATATCATCACACTATGTGAAAAAATATATAATAAATATTTTCCCACCAACATTAATTATTTATCAAATACAATATTTAAAAAAATTTATTAAAACATTATCCTATTTTAAAAACCTAATCAAACTTCCCAGTGGAATAAAGATTTATAAGTTACTGTAGTCTTTTGATGCCTTCCTTTGATGTGTACCTTCTAAAAAATTTGAGTAAAGTGGAACACAATATATTATGCGCTTTCAGGTAGCTTCGATTCACTTAAAAAAGAAGCAACTGAAACAATCTGAAGTCTATGTACATAGTACACAGACATATCTCCTCTGATGTGAGCCAACAAGTCATCTTAAAGCCAGAGAGTATTTGATCTAGTATAAGTAGTGTAAAGATTCTTCAATTCGAAATGGCTGATCAAGCCCTTCACTGGAGTGAGTAAGCAACACCAATCATCATGTTATTTGATTAAATTTATATTTTAAATATTTATATCATCCAGTAAGTACAATAATCCCATATTTTCAGGTATGATACTGTATGTTGCAAAAGACTGTGAAGATTCCCTTGTAGCGTTTTTAAGCTTCAAGTTGTCTGGTTGTAAAGGGAAAATAGAAACAGTTCCTGCTGATTCTAAGCATATCCCATTTCTGAAGTCTACCAAGCAAGTTCCATCCTTGCAGCTAGAATCTGGTGATTTCCTATTTACCATAGAGTCAGTGCTTCTCTATCTGGTAGGCGAATCCTGCAAAACCGCCTTACAATATCTGGCATCCCCAAAGATTTGCCTTGAAAAACTGAACAAAGAGATTCCATCCAAGTCTTTATTTGGAGAGAATGAAACTATAGGTCAAACAGACATGGTTTTGTGGTCTAAATTGTGCTCCTGTCTTCAAGTGTTAAAAGCTTCCAAAAATCTTTACAGTACCTACCCAAGAGTTGGATTTTGGTTTGATAAAGTTTCCAATAATGAGATGATAACTTCTGCTTCAAAAGAGCTTGGCTATTTGCCTAGCAAAGTTCATCCTCCTAAGCAGGTTAAGGTTGCTATCCAGAAAGAAGTTTTGACCAAAGCTCCACCAAAAAGCAGTAGCAATGCTAACTCCAAGAAACCTGTGACAGATGCAGTTGAAAATTTTTTGCAAGTATCCGTTACTGAAGATCAAAAGAAAACTGCGATTAAGAAATGGGTGGAAGGGTATCCTATTGCCAAGCCAATGAACCACGAAGAGCACCCTAAAAAGCCCATACCAGGAAAGAAAAACAACCTTATCACAAGTGCTTTGCCATATGTAAACAATGTGCCTCATCTTGGAAACATCATCGGTGCTGTTTTGAGTGCTGATTGCTTTGCTAGGTACTGTCGTTTAAAGAATGAAAATACCTTGTACATTTGTGGAACTGACGAATATGGAACTGCAACTGAAACAAAAGCTCTTGCAGAAGGGATGACTCCCAAGCAAATTTGTGACAAATATAATGCTCTTCACCAAGACATTTATTCATGGTTCAACATCAGTTTTGATTTCTTTGGCCGAACGACCACCAAGCAGCAAACTGAGATAGCTCAAGATATTTTCTGGAAGGTACATGACAATGGCTACACAGTTGCCCAAACTGTTGAACAGCTGTACTGCCCTCAGTGTAAAAAGTTTTTAGCTGATAGATTTGTTGAAGGAACCTGTCCTTTCTGTGACTGTGAGGATGCAAGAGGCGACCAATGTGATAAATGTAGTAAACTGATCAACCCCATTGAATTAAAAGATCCAAAGTGTAAGGTCTGCTCTAAATCGCCTGAGGTTAAAACTTCTCGACATCTATTTTTGGACTTGCCAAAGCTTGAAGAGAAAATCAAGAACTTCACTGATGAAAGGGCTGCTAAAAAGACCTACAACAGCACTTCAGTTGCTATCACCAACTCCTGGATTAATACAGGATTGAAACCCAGATGTATTACCAGGGATTTGAAATGGGGAACACCAGTTCCACATGAAGACTACAAGGGTAAGGTATTTTATGTGTGGTTTGATGCTCCAATAGGATACATATCAATTACAGCTAATTACATGAAAGAATGGGAGCTGTGGTGGAAGAATCCTGAAAATGTTACACTTCACCAGTTCATGGCAAAAGATAATGTTCCTTTCCACTCTGTGATTTTCCCTGCTTCCCTAATGGCAACAGGGGAGAATTGGACCATGGTGGAAACCCTGGATGGTATTGACTGGTTACAGTATGAGGGAACTAAATTTTCTAAAAGTCGTGGAACTGGAGTGTTCGGAGACCAGGCTGTAGAAACTGGCATTCCCTGTGATATCTTCCGTTGTTACCTTCTTCTGAACCGTCCTGAAACCAGTGATACCAATTTTGCCTGGGATACTCTAGCTCAAACAAACAACAACATTCTCCTCAATAATCTTGGTAACTTTGTTCTAAGAGCTCTTACATTCTGCAAGACTTCTTTCGGCTCAAGAATTGAAAAGATAAACTTAAATGCTGATGATGAGCATTTTATTGCACTTGTCAATGGACATTTAGCTTCTTACTACAAGAACTTTGATGAAAGAATGATGAGCAGAGCTTTTGAGTGTGTATTTGCTATTTCGAAAATAGGAAACCAATACCTGCAATACAACGCCCCATGGGTTCTTACCAAAGGTAGTGATGCTGACAAAGCACGAGCTGGTTCAGTAATCAGTGTTGCCACCAACGTTGCTGCTCTTCTCTCCGTTATAATATCTCCGTTCATGCCGACCATGTCCAAGGTTCTCCAGGAGCAACTGAACATGCCTGAAGAAAAGAAACTCTTTACCGACTGCTTTGTTCCCCTCTTGAAACCTGGACACACTATTGGAACACCGTTCCCGTTGTTCTCTAAGATGGAGGATGCATCAGTTGCTAGTTTTAAAACAAGGTTTAGTGGTCAAGATAGTAGCTCATCTGGTGCAGCTGCTGCTGCTCCTGTCACTGATGTGGAGTCTATTCAAAGAGAGATAGAGAAACAGGGAAACAAATTAAGAGAGTTAAAATCATCCAAGGCAGCTCCTGATTTGATAAAATCTGAGGTTGCAATATTACTAGATCTGAAAAAGAAGCTACCTGCCGAACTTCAGGAGAAACCATCAAAAGGTAACAAGAAGGGAGCAGCAAAGCCCCAGGCTAAAGCTCAGCCAAAAGTTCAAAATGCACCAAAAGCTAAATTAGAGATAACACCAGAGATTGCTGCTCTCCAAAAAGAAATTGAGGCTCAAGGTTTAAAAGTTCGAGAGCTTAAGGGTAGCGGTGCTGATAAAAGTGCCATTGGTGCTGAAGTCAAAGTGCTGCTGGAGCTGAAGTCGAAACTTCCTGCTGAGTTACAACCACAACCGACTGGAAAGAAAGGCAAAAAGAAATAACTCTTCTTTGATTTAGGATAATTCTTTCGCTTCTTGTTTTTGTCTTGGAGATTGATCTAGTTTTACTATGTAATAGGTTTTATTCATGTACACGGTTTTGCTCATTTTGGTTTTCATCATCTTAAATTCGCATTTAGTTTTACTCCAGCATCTTTAAGAAGTTAAAAACATCTCAAATTTAACCACCATACATTCATTGCTGCCTTGTGTAAAAGTCTGTACAATACCGAGTTCGCACTAATAGTTCGCAAATTAATCTGAAATTAATTCGTAAATTAAAATGTAATAAATGAGAAACAGTGATATTTTCATTAGATCTAACAAATAGCCATTAATGTTACATTTTACAATTAGAATGAGTGGCTGTACAGTTGACTTTCCGATTTACGGCATCACAAGTATTGATAATGTCCGAGTTGCCTTATGTGGGGGTGGTGGCGGAATGAAGTCTGGAGTCCCAAATGTGGTGGTAAGTGACATTTCTTATTCTACCAACTGCTAATAAATGTTATATTTAATATATTTAATATTGGTAATATGACCCTTCAGATTTTAAAACTTGCACTGTGCAGGTATTTCTATATCTTTTTAGCATTGTTAATTATAGAAACGTGTCTAAGTACGTAAATATATTTTCTTCACACATCTGTAAGTTTCGTTAAAATTAAAATTAAGTTCGCTAACATTATACGTTACCCCCAGCTATTGTTATACGTTACCATTGTTTTTACAATAATGAATAAAGCAGCTCTATTAGCCTGTAATGTATTACAGGAAGTGTACGACACACGGGGTAAAGGTATGGTACTCTCATACAGGTATGATTGTGAGAGTGTGGCTCCCACTTGTATTGCAGCTCACCCTGGTGAACCTATCCTCGCTGTGGGGGTGGATCACAACTTACTTATTCTCGAGGTGGGTAACAATGTATGTGGAATATGTGAAAATATGTGAAAATATGTGAAATATGTGAAATATGTGAAATATGTGAAATATGTGGAATTTTCGACGGTAGGTTTAGGTTTAGAGCTGATCCGTTGTTATAGAATTGTCAGACAATGCAAGATATCTTATTATTGTTAATATTGTTATTTATATTACATATTTCTTACGAACGTTTTATTAAAGATCGAGAAGAAACAGAAGCTGAACAAGCAAGTTCCTACGCTAAAGAAAATTTTTGAAAGAGAAGTTGTCAAGGTATGTTTTGAAATTTTATAAAATTTGTTGTCTCTGGATGTCACTATTCAAATAGGTATTTGCGATCTTTTGAATTTCATCAGAAATCAGTCACTCTAACTTTTCAACAGCAGCGAATGCCGCATAGTTCTTTGAGCTCGTTGATACTGTTTCAGTTGTTAACTGTCTCTGATCAAATAGTGAACTGCAAAATTCGTCACGGATGTTAAATTATGGCTTTTTAAAGGATTTTTCTGGCCTCTTTGACTATGTACACTTGTAGTGGCAAGTTCTTATATTTCAAGTTAATTTTACTTTATTCCAATTTATTGTAGTATCTTAAAGTTTAATTTTGTAATTTTTAGTTTATTCAAGTTTATTCTTGACTCTCGCAGTCCCAATGATTTGTATTATAGTGCTTTGCGATAGGTTTAAGTATTTAAGCTGGTTTATTTAACAGAGATAAGCCAAGATAGTCCAAATGAGTCACGTGTCCAAATAAAATTGCACTACATTCTTGTATACAATTATTCGACAGGTTACAAAGAATGCAGAGATAGTGAAATGTGTGACGTTCTGTTGTTTTGGAGAGAAGTTGGTAACAGTGGGGGAGGATCACAGTATAACTATCTGGGAGGTTAGTTTTAATATCTGCTCCACGATGATCATTATCTGTCTGTTGTCCGTTTTTAATTTCAGACATATTTTACATAGTGTGCAGTCTGGGTAAACTTCATGGATATTTCATTACAGAGTTTAAAAGCATTATGTTGGCTTAAATGTACTATTATAATTTTCTTAATTAATTAAACAATTAACTACTACATGTAAAGAAACACCCCTTATACCCCCTGTGCCCCTTATACTCCCTGTGCCCCTTATACCCCCTGTGCCCCTTATACCCCCTGTGCCCCTTATACCCCCTGTGCCCCTTATACCCCCTGTGCCCCTTATACCCCCTGTGCCCCTTATACCCCCTGTACCCCTTATACCCCCTGTGCCCCTTATACCCCCTGTGCCCCTTATACCTCCTGTGCCCCTTATACCCCCTGTGCCCCTTATACCCCCGGTGCCCCCTTATACCCCCTGTGCCCCAGTACCCGAGTATGGTGAAGCGTTGGCGGCTAACCCAGCACCTGAGCGAAGTGACCCAAGTAACAGCTCACACCATGGGGGAGCCGGAGATAGTGACCTCGACCCGGAGCAGCGAGTGTTTTGTGTGGGATGTGGAGACAGGAATGCAGAAGGGACAGCTGAAGTATGCTGGTACCGTGCCTAATGCTAAGTACCGCTACAGGAATATCAGGTGCGTTGCTGGGTGATTTTCCTTAAATTGAGGTTGGAAATTCACACGTGATATATACATTTTATTTACCTTTAATACGAGGAACAACATACCTTCTACATGATAATCAACTGCTCTGTTTCAGGTATGGACCCTTAGGGGAGACCTTCTATTCTGTTATAGTACCAGTAGCTTGGAGCAATAAAACATCCTTCTCTCACCTGGTAAAATACGACACTACCACTACTCCTTGGTCTATCACCAGGTAATCAATTAACTAGATTAAGTTATTAATTAATTAACTAATTGATCTTATCATTTTGAATATTAATTCTTGAAACAGGAGACTCAATCCTTAAAATAGTCCTGGTTTCCTAACAAATGTTAAACCTGACCAGAGAGTACGCAGTAAGAGGTGAGCCTCTATCAGAGCTCGCTATCTCTTCTGACGAGACGTTTGTAGCTACTTCTAGTTCTAACGGGCATGTTTACATATTTGATGCACATACTTTAGGGGTAAGAGGAATTCAGGAATTCGTTTTGTAACTTGTGTTCAACCTTACATGTTTACCATTTGAATGATTCGTAACTTGGAGTTTGTGTCCGTATTATTATATGCGTAATGTTTTAATTATAGTAAGTAATTTTATACTACCCGGTAGATTTAGTAGAAGTAATGAGATTGACTGATGCAACAACAATTGTGCCTGTAACTTGCCTAAATTTATTAATGTAATACGATGAGTGCAAGTGGTTAGTATTATCTCTACCTTAAAAATGTCTTAGTATGCAAAATTAAATCTCCCAAATCTACCTGACTGGAATTCAGTTTATAATACACATATTCCCCTTAGTAACCAATATTCCTATACCCAGCTGAGAAGACGTATATTTGAAGCGCACGGCTTGTTTGTGACAGGACTTTGTTTCACCTCAAGCCACGCAGACGACCAGTTTAAGTTGTTGAGTGTAAGCGCAGATAGGGAGTGTAAAGTGCACAACCCTCACGTGGCTGACCCTGTTAGGTTCCTTAAGGCAGCCCTCATTGTACTGCTCTTTATTGGTTAGTTACGTGCAGTTTTAACAAGGTTGTGAAATGACGTGATATTTTGAGTTTGTTAAAAATAACTCCTTAATTTCCTTATCTGCCGTTAAATGGACCTAAACGCCTTTTTTTAACAGTTGTTCCCGTTTTTATTCACGACGTATTTTAATTCTCACAACCACTCCTCATCTGATAACACGTGTTGTAACCTTATGTTTTTCTTATCAGGTGCCCTATATCTGATATTCTGCTTCCTGAGCTCCTCTGATTTACTGCCACACATTGATGACTTTGATAATGACCCTATCGCTGAGGATCATCATGAACACAGTCATCACAACGAACTGTAGTTGGTTGTGTTACCATGGTTACTTGAGTATTGTATATGGTTACTTATTGCTGAATGCGGTAGTGTTACCATGGTTTTGGTTACTTAATTTAAAACATTTTTACGGTAATACATTGCTGAAGTGTGATTAGCATGGCTTTGATTAGATAAGAACTGTAGTTACTAAGTTTTCCAACAGTTCTATTTGCCAGTGGGTACTCAAGATCTAAAACCAGAATTCTCTATTTATTTATAGTTGTTTTAGTACCTCTGGGTTGATAATACCAAATTAGAACTTTATTGCTAAATTTTGTAGATGTTTTTCCAGCAAGCCTAAATTTTAAATACTTTTGTTTAAGATCTGTTCATTACATGGGTAGATAGCTGAACCTGACTATGATCTTTTTTGTTTTCTTTTATTCCTGATATTAAATAAGAGTGTTAAAGTGTAGATTTAATGATTTTGTAAAGAGTTTTTGAATTTTGATACTTCAGAAATGATTAATTGTTGATGTTATTTATTATTGAATCCAATTTCTGAAACATTTTGCGGAAATTATGTTATGTTTTTTTTCTTGTCGACTACTTTAAATTTGTTCCATGCAAATGGATATTGGATATTATATTCCTTATGCTATTCTTTATTAGTAACATAATTAGTTCCCCCAATTCTTCCTAATGCTTCATTCGGTTCACATTAAAAAATAACTATCATTTCCAAAACGTTTAGAAATAATCTCTTTCTTAAATCCTTCTAATTCAACTTAGAACTGTCTCAGAGTTCTTGGCATCCGGCCAGGGAGTTTGTTCCAATGTAACTCTCTCCGGAAGAAAACAATTCTGGAGATTCTTGATCTTAGTGCCACTCTTAAAACATCTACTGCTTGACACCATAATGATATATGTCTTATCTTTTCGTCTTCGTTTCATGACCGGATGACGGATCTTAACCGAATTATCAGGATTAAACTTCGCCAGTAGTTCGGTCTTTAAGTTACCATGATACTTAATTCCTCGGCAGCTGCATACAATTAAGTAGTTGCCCAGTTCCACTTACAAATTGGATGTGGAAGTGCAACTACCAATTACCAAAATGATTGTACAACATCTGCTCATTCCAAACATGCCCGCTCCATAATCTGGCAAACTGCTAATAATGTTGATAACGTTGATAATGTTGATAATGTTGATAATGTTGATAATGTTGATAATGTTGATAATGTTGATAATGTTGATAATATTGATAATGTTGATAATGTTGATAAGATCATCAGTCACCACGTATACGCCGCTATGCCAGCGTTGTCAAATTAAGGATTTCCACTCGACGTCTGTCTAGAAGAGTACATTAATCAGATGGGTAATATGGACTCTCTCCAGCTCTAAGAATTAAGATGATCTCCCACTTGCATAAGCCGCAACTGGATTCCACAATTGAACACAATAAATGTGGTCTTATCAATGCTTTGCAGATGGATATCAGCACACATTTCTCCCTAATAATCAAATTTCTAACAATCCAACATATCATCTTGTTGTCTTCAGATATCGAAGCTTTAATCTGTTCATTCCAAAGCAAGGAGTTATGGGTTATGTAGAAGTCTTTTTCCTCATTCCTGTACAGATTATTATAGAATGACTCTATTAAAAGAATCACTTGATCTTGGCTTGGGTTATTATTAAAGTCTAAGTGTATAAGTATAACTGTACATTTAGTAGGATCGAACATCAAAAGCTGCTTACTTTCCCACAATTCCAGTTCCTTTAAATCTCTAACTGTAGTGTCATGCTGAGACACATTTCCAATGAGCTTAAGGTCATCAGCAAATAATGTAATTTAATTTTACTCTTAATATTTAATCATTAATATATAGCATATTATATAAATATAATGTTTGATGTACTAAACTTTAAATCATAATCATAATGGTTATTAATTGTAAAATAGTGATAATGGTAATTTGTAAATTTAATGTCCTTATTTGCCGTATTTACCAGTATTTTTTAGATAAGATTATGACAGTGGAAAACACGCCAGATTTACCAGAGTTCTATGAATGCCTTACTTCATTGTCCAAACATTCTAAAGGTAAGAACGATATAATGTCTTAAAATGTTTTATAATTTTGTATTCGTAATTACTAATTATATTTGTTCAGGACGTTACAGAAGGAATTAATTGCATGTAGTCCGAGGATTCCTTACTCTCCTCGCGTTCTAAGATGGCGTTTTTTCATTTCGCATATATAAATTCTCTCTTAACTGACTCTTAATTCTTGGAAATCTTGGATTCTGATATCTCTAAATATTCGAATTCTGAGAATATCAGCCCAAAGTAACTCGAATTAACAACTATTCTGTTATTCTGTTGTAGTGATGTTTCTAACTAGTTTCACAGACGCACAGTGCTGAGGTATAAAATGAAGGTGATAAGGTTACGTAACTTTGTACGTAAAGCTATATTTCAAACAGAGAGAATCAGATAAGCTTGATAAGAGTCAATGTCAACACCTAGACAGTCTCTGTTCAAATACCAAGACTTTTGGGTAATTTTACAAATTGTTATGTAATTGTTATCTTTTATCAGATTTTGATGACGTTGTGGGAAAAGTAAAAGCAATGTTATCAGACTCAACAGTTGATACAAAGAATGGTATTTCGTTGTTGGACCTCAAGAATCATACTGTTCTCAACTACCTTATCAGTTTATTAACCTTAATGCTAAGAAAAGTAAGTTTTATAAGTAAGTTATGTAAGTAAGCATGTCAGTAGTCGATGTCTAGACAGGGTTATATATATTATATATAAAAGTAAGTTTTACTTTGATCTTTTGAATAGATGTCGTGGGTTCTTTACTGTTACTAGAAACCAACTATCGGTAAAGAACCATTTTGTGTTTGGTATAATGACCAAGGAGCTCTATTTTGTCGCTTCTTTATTTAATGGTTAAGTCATTAAATTTGGTCCACCACTGTTACACCAAAATGTTAGCTTATTATATTTGGCTGTGATGAACAGAGCGGTATTTTAGCATTTTCTAATTTTAAAATTTCTCTAAAACTTTTCTAAATTTACCGCAGATTGAAGGTAAAGACATAGAAGAAGTTAGGTGGAACAACATTGTTAACAGAACAGTATTGGAACGAATCAGACCACTCGAAAATAAGCTTCACTATCAAGTATGTTTACACCTTTGGCGAAAATTTGATCACATTTCTTTGAGTCAGCCCGCTTTAGATGTTGATTCATTAACATTATTACATTTAAGTGTTTCTTGTTGCTACAAAAAGGCTTTGTCCAACCAATCTTGCTTCGTTCTCAGATAGAAAAGTTAATGCGAGTGACAACTAATAAGAACGACGCTCTTAATTTCAAACCTGATGTCGGAGACCTGGAGAGTAGTGACGACGAACAAGATAACGATGAAGGAGGGTTGTATAAAGCTCCACGAATCGCTGCTGCTCATTACTATGAACGAGGTAAGTAGAGCAAACGTGTAAAGTATGCCGCACTTTACCGGTCGCAATTTAAAATGTTTGTTATTGTAACGCGCGAGTATGTTTTCACAGAGAAAGGATCACCTTTAGTACTCCTTATGCGCTGCTTGATGCGCGCGCGCTCTATTGCAGCAGCCTGGTTAATAAATAATTTTACGACTTCATGATCATAGTAGTGCATGGCGTCATGAAATGATTAAGGAACCAGGACTGGCCCTGCTCGACTGGCTTTGTGTTTTGCGGAAGAATCTGTCAATTCTTTTTTTGGGAGATTAGGAAGGCCTAGAGTGAACTTATTTTTAGTTTTAAGAAAGGACCTCCACAGTCCACAATATTATGAATTTAAGCATGCATAATTTGTGTGAACTTAATGAAATTAAAGACGTAGCAACGTGCACCAAGTGTTGGGACAATTTGTATCGGTAGAGATTACTGCATTGAGGCATTAATTTATAAATAATTTTTGTGTGTGCGATCTTGTTTAATAATGATAATGATCATTGATCAATCGATCGTATTGAATCGATCGTGAAATCCCGTGATCTAGCAAGCTCCCAATTTTTCATTGGAATAGAAATTCACACTAACTTGACATAACATTTTAAGACGGCAACGTTGTGCGAAAGTCGTATCAGATAACGGAGGTCGCCCTTAACCCTGTGTTTTGCCAGTTTTAAACCGCTGAAGTTGTTGTTTGAGAGCCAGGAAGTTTTAGATTAATGCTGATCGTTTGTTCCACCTGTAAATTTCCAAGGAAATATGACCATGATATGAGCAAATCGTGCGATTTGCAACGCTAATCTGACATTATCAACATTTAGATCTATTTTTGTAAACCTACAAAATTATCGGAAAATCGTCTCTTAATTGTCAATTCCATGTTCGAATTGGCACACACCTGATCATAACTTTCATAGAGTGTTCATTGCATCGTCTTCCTACTTGTCAAGTGTTTCAGTTGACTGTTTATCACTTGCCATTTGACGAGGGGAGGAAACTTAGTTGCTCACATAAGTAGATCTGCTCAAGTTTAAATTACGAGGACACGCCTTAATGCTGTGTTTCGCTGTTATGTTTTGCTTTTCAGAACCACGGGCCAAGCGGGCTAAGACGGAGAACAGCGCTGCTCCTAAACTTGGTAAATCTGTTCTGGAGGATCTGAGGAAGGAGATGAGCTCGGCACCGGAGGTGGTGTCGTACTCAAACTCACAAAAACAGGACAAGGGAGTCCAGGACCGGACCCAGTAAGTGAAATAGGATTAATTTTAATGTTGACCGATCGTTCGCGTTTATGACATGAATATGCTTGTTTTTATATCAAAGTTGTATTTAAGTTTGTATTAGTTTAATTGTGTTTTAATCTTTACTGGTAATATAAACACTACAGGTACGAGGAAGCGAACTTCATGAGAATGAGCCTTAGTAGAGGAGATAAGAAGAAACCTAGGATTCAGTCTGGTTTGAAGAATATCCTGGACTTTGATGATGCTGAAATGTTCAGAAGTGCTGAAGCTGAAAGTAAGGGAAAGAAGGGAAAGAAGGGGATGGCAAAGGGAAAAAAGGGAAAAAAGAACAAGTTCAGAAAAAAGAAATGATGTTATTTTGTCTCGATGAATTTTTAGCTTTGTTTTGCTGTCATTTTTATTTATTTTGTTTTATCTACCCACCATAATCGCCAGTTTTACTCGAGAGTCCAGTTTAATCTCTGCCATTGTATACGAGAAATACAAATTGGGAGTCTAATGAATCATAGTTTGTCGAAATAATCAGTCGTAATTTCTTGTTTATAAAATTAGTTTAATGATAGGCCGTTATTTGCTACTAAATCTGATTTTCTTAGTGAGATGAACAATCACATACACGACACTGTGTCAAAAGTATGGGGTTTGACTACTGACCTACCTGAATTGTGAGTAATTCATATTGTCGTCTGTTTTCAAATTCAATTTTGCTATCTAATATAACTGAAACGATTCTCGCGGATCATTTAACAACTCGAGTACGACTAATCACATACATTTACTGATTTACAGTTCTTTCTTCTTGCTTTCATGTCATTAAAGTTGTGGTGTATCTCCAATAATGCCGTATACAATATCACTATTTAATGAACCAAGTTTTATGTTGACGCTTGACCTGAAGTCCCGCAGAGAATCGCAATCACAGTCCAGGAAGTGTCCCACTGACCGAGTGTTCGTGAATCGTAGTTTGAGTTTGGACACAATCAAATACTATGGCTTTGACATGGATTACACGCTGGCTGAATACAGGACACCTTACATGGAAGCCGAGACTGCTAAATATGCTTGTAAGTTTTTGCTTGTACGTTTTTACTTCTACGTTTTTGCTTGTAAGTTTCCAGGAACAATTTATATATTACCCGCTTAAAATATTTCCATCGCGTTACATAATACTCAATAAATGTAATAGATTTGTAGTGTTGTTTTGGTATCTGGGTCAAAACTACAGCTCCCTTTGTTTTTATCGTATTTATTTCACCATTTATTAACTACATTAAAGTTTAAAAACATTTCCCCTCAGTTGAAAGACTGGTAGAACTAGGCTACCCTAAAGAGATAGGGGACACCAAGTATCTGGCTGACTTCGCAGTTCGTGGCCTCATCTTCGACAAAAAGATGGGAAACTTCCTCAAGCTGGATCTACACGGTCTGGTTCTAACTGCTTGCAGAGGTAATTAATTAATTAGTGGTTATTTGTTGATTAAATTTGGGTGATTTGTTAATAATAATTGACTTCGATCATTCTTTAATGCCAAGAAAACTGTTTCGCCTTTTGATGACTGACTTGTTCATTGTCTGCCTTAACTTAAATTACGATTATTTTTTGGCTGGGTTGCTATATCTTTTTATTGTAATTGAATTAGATTTAAAGAAATTGAATCAAGGAATTCTATGATGTCACTAATGAAACAATGACGTTTTTGAACTGATGTTAAGCTGATTTTTCATATCCAATAATCCAGCTTTATTCATCCACTCAAAACGCCTTGGAATTTAAACTAAAATATCACCTCAATCAGGAACGAGGAAGTTAACTAGGAGGGAAATAAGGGACGAATACCCAACTAAATTCTGCAAACTTTTCGAAAAAACACCTGAGGGAGAAAACCGATTCCTTCAGCTGTTCGACACACTTTTCGATACCCCCAAAGTTAGTCTTGGCTCAAAATTCTTGTTTTTAATCATCAGGACTTTCCCAAATTATCGGCTTATGAGTAACTACACGGTCTTAGGTATAATGTTTTAAACATTTTCTTAGAAAGTTTATATTTTCAGATATTTGTAGTCAGTATTGTTATAGACTGGCTTGAAAAATCATCAAATTACGCTAAAACGAACTCTGGTTACTTCGACAACTCCACTTCATCTTTGGTATGACTCTACTTTAGCTTACCTTCGATTTGTTGTAACTTAGAACGAGTAAGGTAACGTTATTCTTCTAATATTACCCACCAAAATTGTTAATGTCGCAACTGGTACTAGTCGCAACTGGGACTAGTCACAACTGGGACTAGTCGCAACTGGGACTAGTCGCAACTGGGACTAGTAAACTGGGACTTGTCGCAACTGGGACTAGTCGCAACTGGGGCTAGTCGCAATTGGGGCTAGTCGCAACTGGGACTAGTAAACTGGGACTAGTCGCAACTGGGACTAGTTACAACTGGGACTAGTCGCAACTGGGACTAGTCACAACTGGGGCTAGTCGCAACTGGGACTAGTCGCAACTGGGACTAGTCGCAACTGGGGCTAGTGGCAACTGGGGCTAGTAAACTGGGACTAGTCGCAACTGGAACTAGTCGCAACTGGAGCTAGTCGCAACTGGGGCTAGTCGCAACTGGGGCTAGTCGCATGGGGCTAGTGGCAACTGGGACTAGTAAACTGGGACTAGTCGCAACTGGGGCTAGTCGCAACTGGGGCTAGTCGCAACTGGGACTAGTCGCAACTGGGACTAGTAAACTGGGACTAGTAAACTGGGACTAGTAAAATGGGACTAGTAAACTGAGACTAGTAAAATGGAACTAGTAAACTGGGACTAGTCGAAACTGGGACTAGTCGCAACTGGGACTAGTCGAAACTGGGACTAGTCGCAACTGGGACTAGTCGCAACTGGAACTAGTTGCAACTGGGAGTACCAGTTGCAACTAGTCCCAGTCTGGGACTAGTAAACTGGGACTAGTCACAACTGGGACTAGTCGCAACTGGGGCTAGTAAACTGGGACTGGTAAAGCTGTCCCCTCATTTTCCCGTACATTTCGCAGGCATCGTCTCCTTGGAGAGTTGCCAGACCACAGTTACAGTGTCGCTAATAAAAGTTATTAGGCAAACATTAAAGATATTTTATCAGGCGAAAGTGTCACTGTGTCAAGGATAGATCCTCCAATAATATTTTAATTAACTCAAAATCTTACTATTCAGTTGACCTACCCCACGGTATGGAGTGACGTGTCGCTTGCGTTTGACATGGTGCACAGTAAAGGACTTCACAGCAACATCATGAAGCATCCTGACCTCTTCATCGACAGGAACCCCAACTTACCCAAACTACTTGACTACCTTCAGAGCTGTGGTATTTACAGATTTAATAACCTCTCGTTCTGAAGATTGAAATGCTCATCAAATTGAACGAATGATAAAAACAATCGGAGGTAGACGTAATTCTATTGATCCCAACTAGAACTGCTTCAATTACTTGCTCAGAAGGACATAACCAATATCACGTGATATAGAACCAATATCACGTGATATAGAACCAATATCACGTGATATAGAACCAATATCACGTGATATGATCGCAGCATTTTTACCTCTGAAACTGTTAACATTTCAGACAGAAAAGTCTTCCTCTTGACGAACTCTCCTTACCAGTTTACTGATGTCGTTATGAAGTATCTTCTCGACGACCTCGCCGGGAAAAAGTGGACAGATTACTTTGACTATATTATTGTTAAAGCCTGCAAACCCAGATTCTTCAACGAGGGAACCCCGTTTAGGTTTATTTCGCTGATTATTTTAACCTTTTTCTTTCGAAAGGCATGTCTAACTTCTATATATCTCGATTTCTTGTTGCCGGGTATAGACAAACTTCATTTTCTTAATAACACTCACTATTCTAACCAAGATCTCATATTCTTATCATGCCAAAATCTTATCTTACTTGCTAAGTTTTTTAAATCTCTTAGTTGTATTGGGATGCATATTTCAGTACCTCATAATATGTAATTGTGGGATGCATATTTCAGTACCTCATAATATGTAATTGTGGGATGCATATTTCAGTACCTCATAATATGTAATTGTGGGATGCATATTTCAGTACCTCATAATATGTAATTGTGGGATGCATATTTCAGGCACATAAACAAAACCACTGGCTCTGCTAACCTGGGTACTCATCATGCTGATGATATGATACAGGCACGTGTTAAACCTTTATTTGTGTGTCACGTGACTGTTCATTTTAACGCCACGTGTTATTTGTGTGTCACGTGACTGTTAATTTTAACACCAAGTGTTATTTGTGTGTCACGTGACTGTTAATTTTAACGCCACGTGTTATTTGTGTGTCACGTGACTGTTAATTTTAACGCCACAATGTCACGTGACTAACTTCGTCAGAGCCCCTTTTGTCAATGTTTTTTCGTGACTTGTGTTTTACGTATCTTATCTTATATAATGTTCATTATATAATCCGAATTCTCGCTGCGCTATTCGTAATCTCCTCTTAAATCCACACCCCATCCACACATCTCTGTTACTTATAGTAACAACATTCCGGACATTGGACAACCAATCTTAATTATTGGTTACCTGGAATTTTGTGATAATTAAACCATTTTAGGCTTTAGCCCACACTATATTTTGATACCACTTACCAAGAATAGCACTCCAACATTCTTCCAAATTCCTCCAACATTCCTGACAATCTCTATATAATAGGGAGAAGTGTACAGTGGTGGTAACTGTGACCTGTTCTGTCAACTGACCGGAGCTGAGGGTCCTGACATCCTCTACTTTGGGGATCACATCTACGGGGATGTGGTCCGCTCCAAGAAAACAAACGGTTGGAAAACTTTCCTCGTCATCCCGGAGCTGAAACATGACTTGGACGTGTGGACAAGGTGAGCTGATTGTTTTTTGTTGGGGTGGTAGTGACTGTTTTTGAGAATCTGACCAATCAGATCACTGACCGGAAACCTGTTAATGGCCTGCATGGGAACTGGGCGCAATTGTCGGTGGGCATTTTTACGTGAGCTTGGACTGCATATATTTTGCAGTTTCTACACAATAAAGCAAAATGTAGTGCCCTGAGGTCACAAGTGAAGGTAGGGTTAATTGCGAATCTTGGGATATTTAATTATATATTTAATAATAGAAATGGCATGAAACTATCCTACTCCAAATTGCACCATTTAAATTGCACGATTTACTCCACAGTACTGAGACTAACTTCATTAGCAAATTAAATATACTGGAAATATTCTTGATTAAGGATGACATGTAACATGTCTCTTAACCCTTTAATCATCTCGACAGTGAGACGAAGCTGTTCGAACGTCATCATCAGCTGGAGAGGAAGTTAGGAGAGTTCCAGGCAGCATCAGGTCCCAGTCAGGACAGGGAGGTCATCAGGAAACTAGATCAGGAGAGGAAGACGGTAAGTGAAAGTTAAAGTGAAAGTGTTTATTTGTGTGTCACGTGACTGACAGGCAGCATCAGGTCCCTGTCAGGACAGGGAGGTCATCAGGAAACTAGATCAGGAGAGGAAGACTGTACGTGCAAATCTTTGACATTTCTTTTGAAATTTTATTGTTAAATCCTGACTCTTTAGAAAATAATATCCCTTGGGGTTTTGCCCTCTTACCCATTTATTGGAAGCAATTTGTCTCTCCATAATTTGTCGCTCCTGGACTTAGTAGTAGATATAGGGAGGGGGATGTTAGGGTAGGGTGGAACAATTGGGTTGAACGATGAGAATCTTCATCTCTACAGCTGACAGCAATCTGACAGTGTTCACTGAAACAAAATCAGGATTGTGTGACTACCCTAAATTCCGTTACTTCAGTTAGTTGACGAGATAGATGCCCGCTATAATCCATATTTCGGCAGTACCTTCCGGAAGGGAGGCCGTCTCTCTTGCTTTGCTAACCAGGTTCTTTTATATGACAATTATTGATTGTTATTATTAAGTAATATTTTGATAGTAAAAGTTATAATTTGTCAAATATTGACTTTACAATTACCAGAATTGAGGCGTCATGATAACTTAATTTATTTGTTTAACTAAACGCATCTGTGCAGACTGCAGATGAACTGTGAACAGAAACATTAATTGTTAGATTGTCGCTACAATAATCTCATTAACCTACAGATGGACAAGTATGCTGATCTGTACGCCGCCACAATTAACAACATTATCAACTACTCATTGTCACATCAGTTCTGGAGTCCTCCTAAACTTCTACCTCACGAACAAACGGTAGCTCAGCAACCGGGAGATGCTTAGCAACAGCCAATCAGTATCTAGTGAAACGAGCATGTAGTGACATTCAGTAACAATAAATTCTGGGAATTTTAGGAAATTAGCAATTCAACATTATAATATGAATATAGGATATTAACACTCCTCATTTCACTTAGCAACACTTTACTACACATTTTATTCATGAATTGTGGAATTATAACAGCTGTAAAAGTTTAATTATATAAATAATCTTTTTTCTTCTAATTGAATTTTGAGACAGGGGCAGAAATAATAGTTAATGAATCAGTTTAAATTTAAAAAGCTTGTATCTTATTGTAATCTCAGCGATGTAATGGGAATTTATGATTTATTATTAATTTGGTCTAATTTAATGATCTAGAAATAAGATTTTTTATAATAATTATCTGTTCTAATAACTATTGTTTGCTTATTGTGGAATGTTTTTGTGCGTGTATCCGTTAGCTTATAATACTGTAATTTAAAGGTTTTATCTTCCGAAAACCCTTCATAATTATATACATTTTTAGTGGCTGAAATAGAGCTGCGGGAACCTATTCCTTAACGAGATAAGCGCATGGATTATGGTCTTTAATTCTGTTTTAGGATGAAAACTTTGATAAAGTTGGGTACTCTAATGGTTATACAATGTGTAAATCATGAAATAATATGTTTATTAAGCTATTTTTACAGTTTAATTAAAATAATTTGTTGTTATATTATCAGTGTAATATAAATATGCACACGTTTGTGTTGTGATAAGATATATGTATTTGTAAAATATAAAATAAGTGTGTTTTAATTGGTTTGTTTTTCAAATTGTACAAAGTTATACAGTACACTAGATCTAATGATTGAAAGCTGGACGGTGCCAGGCGGTTCTAATGACCAATTAAAACATAAAAAATAATACTGAATAATAAACCCTCTGTTGTTCAGGGCACTGCACACTATTGACTATATATATATGGTTCATGTTTAGTATGAACTCACTCCAACACTTCAATAGCAAATAGCTTAAAATGAAATCAAACCAAAATATTGCGAAAAATATGAAGTCCAGTGTGCTCATATGATATGGGGCGAAAACAAAAAACGCTAGTGCAAGATGCTAGTGGTATGCATAAGCATTCACCATCTTTAAAAACCACACATACCACAGCCACAACACACATCATCACTCGATTGGCTTGTCTTTTGAGTGAATTGTCCCCGATCGTATGAAATGCAGTTCATCAGGTTCCATTTCTCTTTTTCTCACCAGTTCATGAACCAGGAGCCGTCCTGAGATCGCTCTTCTTCGGAGCGATCTGGTCTCACATACACTATGTTACTGGGCCGCGCTCAGCCTGTCAATTCCTTATATCACGTTGTGACACCCACGGTCGTTTCACTAAGTGATACAGGGGGAGCCGCGCACTTCGTGCGCGGCGGGTCATACAACGTATGACAATCAATTCCGCCTAATCTCTCGCTCTATGTTTATGAATATGAACATGATAGCCTGAGGTCCCCAGGTAAACTTTTTTAAGTAAAAGAAAATTTAAATTTTATTGCCATTACAATGAATAATGATATCATAATAAATATATTAAATTGTTTCAAACAGTATACACATAATGTCACAATGACCCTATTATATAAAAATAACCCTTCAAAAACTCAATATTTTGAAAATCCCCCTTGGCCTTGCAGCTCCAAGTTCAAATCTAAACTGTTTATATTGACAAAGTTCTTTATCGCCCATCTGTCTCCCCGAAGAGAAATTACCGTCGTTCTTAAGATTTCGAAACGAAGGCGCTTCCTAATGTATCCCACAGCATCTGAATTCTGAGTACCTTTGCCCTGTGTTGTATTCCATCTTACTAGCCAGCTTCTTTTCTAGTCTTTCAGCTTCACCACCCATTCCACCAGACGTTGAGAAAACTAACGGCGTGAAGCTTCCTTTCTCTACTTCCAGGACCCTTGCATTTTGATCGACGATGGGAAGCAAAAATGCTAGTTCATAGTTTGCGCGGCGTGTCGAAGCGGCGAAGTCCTCCAAAGCTGCTACATGCAGATTATGTATTACTTATTCGTCTCATGTGAGGCTTTAATCTGGCTTTCATTTCACAAAACTCAAAAATTTCTTTAAAAAATCTAAGAAGCAGCAAAACGCATGATTATAAGTATAACTAAACTTTTCTTCACACAGAATACAAGAGACAAGCATTAAATCCAACACGGGTATATTGATTATTAATTTAAAAGAAACTCTAATCTGAATGCTATGGTTATGAAATGTGAAATCAGCAGCAGAACATGTACAAGTACAACTAGAACTAGAACGTAGATCTACTAGTACTACTACTACTAGAACAGCTGTGCAATATAGTTCTCTGCAAGTATATATATTTCACGTGTCAAGAAATGCGCTGATAAGACGAAACACGGCAACGAAAAGGTTCCGGGCCGGTTTCGACCAGGGTCGTGAAGTTGAAGCTGACTGTGCTGGTAGTGATCTCACAGACCGACCTTTGGAACTCTGATTCTGGTTCATAGTGAAACTGAAATCAAATACAAGAATTTCAGACGGAATCTCTTAAAAACTGTACATTTCTTAAAAATGCAAAATTAAGTTATCAATATCAATCACGCGGAGCATTTGTCGTGTCACATCATTAACAAGGTAAAAATTCAATATTCGCAATTTTCACATAAGTTCAAGTTAGAACAAATTCATCATCAAAATAATTAAGGTTACAACTCTGCATTGCTGAGAGTAAATTTAAAGTTTCCTTTACTTGGCGATTCATAGTCTTAGTAATTATAGTTTTAGTACAGTAAAATTGCATATTACCATTAACTATCATATAAGTATAATTGGCCATATATAATAAACATATTTTATAATCATAATATATTGGCTTACATCTTAAAATTAATAATTATATCTTATAATACCTTGGCTATTTCGTGCCTGCGTGTTCCCTCCAGCAAGCTGTCGGGAATTATCGCGCTCAGTACTCAGAAGCCAATGTATTATAGTATTATATCTTACGTGTGTAGTACTCCCTACGTATAATTATATAAGAATTGCCCTATGATAATTAATAGGAACGTTTTTGACATGAAGCTGCTTCAGTACGTGTTCTTGGTTAAAATAACACATTTTTAATGAGCTCATTCAATTTCTGCATGATCCCCAAAACTTTAATATGCTAAATTCTTTCAAACCTTACTCTCTAATGACGGTCTACAACATGTAACTAGGTTGTAACTAGGTGGTAACTTGGTAACACAACATGTTCTATACCTGGTTAGTGTTTATATCACCTTACATCGTCCCGGCTAGAAGCGCACGCTGATTCGGGATATGTAACAAACTGTTTAGACCAGTCGACCATGCTGGACTTCTATCGGTGGAAGGTTACTTGGTTAATAGAGTGGGGTTTATCAATATTAATAAGTAATTATAATTATATTATAAGCTATGATCCCTATATCATATATATATTATTTGTTATACATATAATATGTGTGGAGACTATGAAATCGCCAACTTCCTCTCTTATAGCCTGCAGTAGACAACCAGATTAATTTAATAATAATAATAATAACTTGAAAAAGTGCAGTACTTTAAAGCTCTAACCTCAGATTTCACAAAGCAAATTCAAAGTAATTCTAAAGCGGTGAAAAACTATCTGATGTAAAAAATGTAAAAAATTTCTCTGATCGCAAGATAAAAAGAGCGTATAAAACGAGAACCGTTCATTCAAATTTGCTCGTTGTAAAATCTGTTACCCGGCTTTTTGCATTCCGGAACATCGACATAAACTCATCCCGGAGAGGTTTCTGCCGCCAGATCATGAGAAAAGGTACCAGAGTTCCGTAGACAAAAATGCCGAATCTGGCCACGATGGGAAATATCACTTGTTGCTCCGAACTGGCGAACATGCCGGAGATATTTAAAATACTTTTGTTGAATATGTACTTCAAGGCGTAGAAGACGTTGATAATCCACCTGAGGAAGTTTAAATGCTAATAATAGATGTGGATTCTGGTAGTGGTGTGGAGGCGAGGAATATTTTGACACATTATGACAGTAATTCTGAGGTTTGATTGGTCAATAGTGGAAGCTGATTGGTTTATTGCTGTCACATGTTAAAAAATACGCCTCGCTGGCCTACCAGATCATATTTACAATCAGTACCTCCATTATCATGAGGTCCCAATATCATTCCAACAAACCGCACAACAAATTCTTAATTTTCCTTAAAAAGATTTCCCAATCATACTTTATTGATTATTCTTGAATTGTAATCATATCCAGATATTATATGAAAGCTAAAGTACGTACCACAAAGAATCACAAAGGCAGAAGAGAACCATTAGCATGACCACCGTAGTCAGAGCCTGGATGTGGCTATTAATACGCCGTTTACTCGGCAGTTTATTAAGATCTGTCGTCAACGAATCGTTCGCTCGTTCTGATCCTGTATTTTGGTGGTTCTTGTTTTCGTATACCATTTCCATCTCTGAAGGTTTGATCATTGAGTTCTCTAGACTGTTCTCAATATCAAAACTTCAAAGCTTTAAAATCATTTAACATCAGAATGGTGTGGAAACATTAAAATTGCGCATTCGCCCCAGCTTTGCTATTCAGCAGGGCTAAGGGAAGAATAGCTGCGAAAATTGTCCCATTATGTTTTATAAAATACCTCAAGACCAATTAAACTGTTCAAGTTTTACAAGGCTCGTGTCCAAATTTTGAATGGCTCTCAAAATCTAGTAAATGAGAGAAACAGTTAAATTTTTGTTTTAAATTGTAGACAATATTCTATTTATCGACTTCACAGACGATATAAGGTTTGCCTAGAACACCATTGCTTTTTGTATGAAGCAGTGGGTAAACACCCGCACCACCCGACTACCGCCAATACAAAGCTGAGAAATTTAGCAAGAATTTTAGCTAGCAAAACCGTCAGTTAACTAACGGGATATTTCATGGGTGCTGTTGATAAAACGATACGATCTCACTGAAAGTATATTGAAAAGGAAGGGAATGAGACTACTATACCAGATAAAAGGTGAATTTCAACCTTTAAAAATGAAAATTTCTACAAATATAACCACTTGAAAGTATCAACAATAATCCATTGTGGTTTATTTACATAACTAAAATGTAAACTTACAAATAAACGTATAAATCAGACTCACCGTCTATTTCAGTTATATTTTTCTGATTTCTGAAAATAAAGCCTAAGCGTCCACTAAAGCTTCCTTTATTATTTCCATATTTAAGACTCTTCCGCTTGAAATCTAGCTGTTAAAAACAATTCATTAGATATAATGCAACATAAATAAATCTATCTATTTAATTGACCTTTTTAACAAACTTTTTAAGCAGTTCTTGTTCACATGCTCATCACAGTAATAAATTGACATCTGAACTGAGGTGGTAACTAGGTGGTAACTAGGTGGTAACTAGGCGGTAACTAGGTGGTAACTAGGCGGTAACTAGGTGGTAACTAGGTGGTAACTAGGCGGTAACTAGGTGGTAACTAGGTGGTAACTAGGTGGTAACTAGGTGGTAACTAGGTGGTAACTATGTGGTAACTAGGTGGTAACTAGGTGGTAACTAGGTGGTAACTAGGTGGTAACTAGGTGGTAACTAGGTGGTAACTAGGTGGTAACTAGGTGGTAACTAGGTGGTAACTAGGTGGTAACTAGGTGGTAACTAGGTGGTAACTAGGTGGTAACTAGGTGGTAACTAGCAAGGTTGTTAAATACGTATTAGGAGGGAATACGTATTGGAATACGAATACGTATTAATCCTCGAAAATTGACGTATTACGAAAAGGTGTGGCTTGAAGTTGAAATTGATCGCGGATGGTCTTTAAATTCTGAACATCAAAATTATTAAATATGTATTAATATGTAATTGATAATTTCGCAAAAAATGTTAGCTTATCGGATTATCCATGAAATTTGATTACAAATTTAAGTTATCATGTATAACTGCACTCCTTTAATGCATGATCAATGATGAGGGTGGCGCGCAGCTGTAATGTTTAATTTTGACAAATCAGCGTATTGCGGCGTATTATGGCGTATTCGTGGACGTATTTAACAATCCATAGAAATTACCGTATTACGGCGTATTACGACGTATTCTTTATTAGAACCGAATACGTCGTATTCTTTCACCAAAATTTGACGTATTTAACAACCTTGGTAACTAGGTGGTAACTAGGTGGTAACTAGGTGGTAACTAGGTGGTAACTAGGTGGTAACTAGGTGTAACTGTGAACATACTAAGGAGTTATCACTTACCGTTCCTATCTTACTCATGGTAAAGACTCCCACAATCACTGTCATCAGGGGGACCACCACAAAAGGTACCACCATCATGAAAAAACAGTATACCTGAGTGATACAAATACATTAATTTATAAGGTGTATTAATTAATAAGGTGGACGAAAAGTGTTAATTTAATGGGACTCAAAAAAATTAATTATTGCAACCTGACAAAGTTCAACTTTCAGGTAAACAAATATGCCTCATTTCCCCACTAGAATCCACATCTATAAGCTGTGCATAAAATATATGTATGTTCCTAAGACTGCATGTGCTAAGACTACATTATTAGTACATTGAGAACATTTCGATAATAGGATAATGGTAGTTAAAACTAATTGATTAATTTATTCTTTACCTTCATTTTCCCGTCTGGCTCATAGTGCAGTGGTACACCTTTATCATCTACGGTCATCCTTTGGAAGGTGATCTCACAAAACACATTCTGATGGTCCATAATACTGTTAGGGAGATACTGAAATAACCTTCTAGGCACAGTTTGGTTGTTTTTAGAATCCTTGAATGATTTTCCTACAGGCATAGTGCTTCCTGTATCAAAAAACCCAAGAAGAGGGAGTGTGAGAGTTAATACCCAAAGGATCGCCTGTCCGCAGCTGAAATTAAAAATAAAATATTTAACAACATCAAATTGGGGATTGTTGGCGGGTAAAAATCCGGGATAAACAAACAAATTTGTATGCTATCCTCTTTTTCATGCTATCATCTTTTGGGCCATCCAGGCTAGACCTGGATGACCCACAAGGGATAGCTTAAAGATGATTTGCCTACCTCTGGGGTGTGGCAACCTTTCAAGGAGAAAAATCCGAGATACTACGATTATAATTGTAATTTACAAAAAATACATTGATTAAAATGCCAAATGGTTAACACTGAACACGAAACCATTATTCAAAACTCGAAATCATAACTCACATATAGTGGACATTAGCTAGTCTTCTATAAGTGAAAGGAAAGTAAACCGCTACCATTCTATCCAGACTCAAAGCAAACAGAGTGGTGTAGTGCAAACTGGTAAGAACGTAGAAAGTCATTGCTAAGCTACCACAAAAGGTTTTGTTTACAAATTCTTCCTTCCACGATTCTGCAAAGCTGTCCCCTGTCATGCTGAATAGCCTGAATATTTTAAGATTAAAATGACAAAAAATGGCGTAAATGAACTATCCTACCATCCTCAATATCAATTCAAATAACACCATCCCTCCCTCCCTCCCTCTAATAACACCCTTCCTCCCTCTAATAACACCCTCCCTCCCTCTAATAACACCCTCACTCCCTCTAATAACACCCTCCCTCCCTCCCTCTAATAACACCCTCCTTCCCTCTAATAACACCCTCCCTCCCTCTAATAACACCCTCCCTCCCTCTAATATCACCCTCCTTCCCTCTAATAGCACCCTCCCTCCCTCTAATAACACCCTCCCTCCCTCCCTCTAATAACACCCTCCCTCTAATAACACCCTCACTCCCTCTAATAACACCCTCCCTCTCTCTAATAACACCCTCACTCCCTCTAATAACACCCTCCCTCCCTCCCTCTAATAACACCCTCCTTCCCTCTAATAACACCCTCCCTCCCTCTAATAACACCCTCCCTCCCTCTAATAGCACCCTCCCTCCCTCTAATAACACCCTCCCTCCCTCCCTCTAATAACACCCTCCCTCCCTCTATTAACACCCTCCCTCTCTCTAATAACACCCTCCCTCTCTCTAATAATACCCTCCTTCCCTCTAATAACACCCTCCCTCCCTCCCTCTAATAACACCCTCACTCCCTCTAATAACACCCTCCCTCCCTCCCTCTAATAACACCCTCCTTCCCTCTAATAACACCCTCCCTCCCTCTAACAACACCCTCCCTCCCTCTAATAACACCCTCCTTCCCTCTAATAACACCCTCCCTCCCTCTAATAGCACCCTCCCTCCCTCTAATAGCACCCTCCCTCCCTCTAATAACACCCTGCCTCCCTCCCTCTAATAACACCCTCCCTCTCTCTAATAACACCCTCCTTCCCTCCCTCTAATAACACCCTCCCTCTCTCTAATAACACCCTCCTTCCCTCCCTCTAATAACACCCTCCCTCCCTCTAATAACACCCTCCCTCCCTCCCTCTAATAACACCCTCCCTCCCTCCCTCTAATAACACCCTCCCTCCCTCTAATAACACCCTCCCTCCCTCTAATAACACCCTCCCTCCCTCCCTCTAATAGCACCCTCCTTCCCTCTAATAACACCCTCCCTCCCTCTAATAACACCCTCCCTCCCTCTAATAACACCCTCACTCCCTCTAATAACACCCTCCCTCTCTCTAATAACACCCTCCTTCCCTCCCTCTAATAACACCCTCCCTCCCTCTAATAACACCCTCACTCCCTCTAATAACACCCTCCCTCCCTCCCCCTAATAACACCCTCCCTCCCTCTAATAACACCCTCCCTCCCTCTAATAACACCCTCCCTCCCTCCCTCTGATAACACCCTCCCTCTAATAGCACCCTCCCTCCCTCTAATAACACCCTCCCTCCCTCTTATAACACCCTCCCTCCCTCCCTCTAATAGCACCCTCCTTCCCTCTAATAACACCCTCCCTCCCTCTAATAACACCCTCCCTCCCTCTAATAACACCTTCCCTCCCTCCCTCTAATAGCACCCTCCCTCCCTCTGATAACACCCTCCCCTCCCTCCCTCTAATAACACCCTCCCTCCCTCTAATAGCACCCTCCCTCCCTCTAATAACACCCTCCCTCTCTCTAATAACACCCTCCCTCCCTCCCTCTAATAGCACCCTCCCTCTAACAGCACCCTCCCTCCCTCTGATAACACCCTCCCTCTAATAACACCCTCCCTCCCTCTAATAACACCCTCCCTCCCTCCCTCTAATAGCACCCTCCCTCCCTCTGATAACACCCTCCCTCCCTCCCTCTAATAACACCCTCCTTCCCTCCCCCTAATAACACCCTCCCTCCCTCTAATAACACCCTCCCTCCCTCTAATAACACCCTCCCTCCCTCCCTCTAATAGCACCCTCCCTCCCTCTAATAACACCCTCCCTCCCTCTAATAACACCCTCCCTCCCTCTAATAACACCCTCCCTCCCTCTAATAACACCCTCCCTCCCTCTAATAACACCCTCCCTCTCTCTAATAGCACCCTCCCTCCCTCTAATAGCACCCTCCCTCCCTCCCTCTAATAGCACCCTCCCTCCCTCTAATAACACCCTGCCTCCCTCCCTCTAATAACACCCTCCCTCCCTCTAATAACACCCTGCCTCCCTCCCTCTAATAACACCCTCCCTCCCTCTAATAACACCCTCCCTCCCTCTAATAGCACCCTCCCTCCCTCTAATAACACCCTCCCTCCCTCCCTCTAATAGCACCCTCCCTCCCTCTAATAGCACCCTCCCTCCCTCTAATAACACCCTGCCTCCCTCCCTCTAATAACACCCTCCCTCTCTCTAATAACACCCTCCTTCCCTCCCTCTAATAACACCCTCCCTCTCTCTAATAACACCCTCCTTCCCTCCCTCTAATAACACCCTCCCTCCCTCTAATAACACCCTCCCTCCCTCCCTCTAATAACACCCTCCCTCCCTCCCTCTAATAACACCCTCCCTCCCTCTAATAACACCCTCCCTCCCTCTAATAACACCCTCCCTCCCTCCCTCTAATAGCACCCTCCTTCCCTCTAATAACACCCTCCCTCCCTCTAATAACACCCTCCCTCCCTCTAATAACACCCTCACTCCCTCTAATAACACCCTCCCTCTCTCTAATAACACCCTCCTTCCCTCCCTCTAATAACACCCTCCCTCCCTCTAATAACACCCTCACTCCCTCTAATAACACCCTCCCTCCCTCCCCCTAATAACACCCTCCCTCCCTCTAATAACACCCTCCCTCCCTCTAATAACACCCTCCCTCCCTCCCTCTGATAACACCCTCCCTCTAATAGCACCCTCCCTCCCTCTAATAACACCCTCCCTCCCTCTTATAACACCCTCCCTCCCTCCCTCTAATAGCACCCTCCTTCCCTCTAATAACACCCTCCCTCCCTCTAATAACACCCTCCCTCCCTCTAATAACACCTTCCCTCCCTCCCTCTAATAGCACCCTCCCTCCCTCTGATAACACCCTCCCTCCCTCCCTCTAATAACACCCTCCCTCCCTCTAATAGCACCCTCCCTCCCTCTAATAACACCCTCCCTCTCTCTAATAACACCCTCCCTCCCTCCCTCTAATAGCACCCTCCCTCTAACAGCACCCTCCCTCCCTCTGATAACACCCTCCCTCTAATAACACCCTCCCTCCCTCTAATAACACCCTCCCTCCCTCCCTCTAATAGCACCCTCCCTCCCTCTGATAACACCCTCCCTCCCTCCCTCTAATAACACCCTCCTTCCCTCCCCCTAATAACACCCTCCCTCCCTCTAATAACACCCTCCCTCCCTCTAATAACACCCTCCCTCCCTCCCTCTAATAGCACCCTCCCTCCCTCTAATAACACCCTCCCTCCCTCTAATAACACCCTCCCTCCCTCTAATAACACCCTCCCTCCCTCTAATAACACCCTCCCTCCCTCTAATAACACCCTCCCTCTCTCTAATAGCACCCTCCCTCCCTCTAATAGCACCCTCCCTCCCTCCCTCTAATAGCACCCTCCCTCCCTCTAATAACACCCTGCCTCCCTCCCTCTAATAACACCCTCCCTCCCTCTAATAACACCCTGCCTCCCTCCCTCTAATAACACCCTCCCTCCCTCTAATAACACCCTCCCTCCCTCTAATAGCACCCTCCCTCCCTCTAATAACACCCTCCCTCCCTCCCTCTAATAGCACCCTCCCTCCCTCTAATAACTCCCTCCCTCCCTCTAATAACACCCTCCCTCCCTCCCTCTAATAGCACCCTCCCTCCCTCTTCCATGACTGTACTTACTGATAAAATGTAAAGAACATCGGGAGAAGGACAACAGAGCTGAGCAGATTGATCACTGCCAGTTGTATGTTGAGTATGTTCGTTTTCTTACGATCCATCCGGATATAGATAGTCAGGAATATGGCTGATGATATGGGAGAAAACACCAGGAATCCCACTAAGGCCCACTGAAATAGATTAGTTAAAAAAAATCAAAAACATCATTATAGCCAATTCATGTGAAGTGTAAACCCACTCTTATTCTATGCTGGGATAAACAACTCGGTCTTAAAAATTAAATAAACATAATATAGTAATATGTTCGCCAAATAACATTAAAACCTTGTACTAAAAATTACTTTGGTATTGGTGTGAAGGTCAAGTGTAGGAAAGGGGGGAGTGCTGGAGGAAGTGGTCGTAGTCCAAGGTGCTGTCTCGCTCACCATCCTAGTGTTATGAAGCTTGCTATAATTATGTAGAGCAAATCTTTGAGAACTTTAAAATCACTTAAAAAGAGTTTTATTATCCATATATAAGCAATGATTATTTTCCAAGCAATATTTATTTTCCAAGAAAAAGGTGTGGCGTGCTTATTAAGCATGCCATATCGATTTCTTGGAAAATCGCTGATAAAAATAACAAACTGGTAAACTGGAGAGCACTCTGCCCCTCAGCACTGGTAAACTGGAAAGCACTCTGCCCCTCAGGCCTCATGCTCTCTGTCATAAGGATCACGAGTAAAGCTGGATAAACGTTAAAAACAAACTGTAACAAAATAATTATTGAATTCAAACGATGGGTAACCGACTAAATGTCTAACTTTAATTAATTAAAAAATTTAGCTCCTTGCATTAAGATGTGAAGCACTCAAATAAACGACGTCTAAATATGCTTATCAAGTCTGGTTTACGATCACAAGATCAAGAGCTCTATTCTTCATAGGGCGCGGTTCACTCAAAGTTCAAGTTTCTTTGTCTAACAAGTAGCAAATTATCGAACAAACAGTAGAGGAATAAGTGGAACATTAATTTACTGGAAAGTTAGTTAACTCTATGCGGTGTGAAGACGGTGCAACATTGTGTAACTTGAAGGTGTAACTGTAACACATGGATGTTGTGCAATGTAACACGTGCATTGTAACACATGGGTGAGGTACAATGTAACACGGAGCCTTGACATATTCATCCTTTATTCTGCCCCTAGTTTCTAAGCCATATAGAATATAGAACTGTTCTTATAGATAAATATGACGAGGCTTTAGAACTAGAAGCCTCGTTTATGATCAATAAATTTTTACATAATCATTCTAACAATTACAATATGGCTTGACGAATGACGAAGGTAGAACAACTTGTTGTTTCTTAGGAATATGTAACCTATACGCGGCGCCTGAAAGCCCCTCCTTGTCAAAGGATCACATATTATGAGCAGATCCAAGATCAGGCCTCAGGGGGTCCAGCTCTCTTTATGAATATGATCATACAACAACAGTCCCAGCACCGGTGCACTTGCTTAAACACGCCGATCAGGCGATCAATAAAATAAACTTTAATATATATAAAGTTGTTATGAATTCATTGAATTCAATAGAAACAGCGGTGAGTTGACTAAACCGAGGGAGACGACGTGCTCAGTACTCATTGTACTGTAACGAGTCATTATCATTATAACCATGCAATAAGACTTATCAGCTCCTGATCGTGATTATATTTCTATTGTATGCTGAATAATGCTGATGTTATATTCTTCATGAGAAATCATTACATTACACGTACAAGTAAATAATTACAGCGGGTGTGTAACCCCCGATAATGAAGCCACTCCTCTCTCTCACTCCTCATACGATATGAGGAGACATTAATTGGACACACATTGCAACCCCTTTTCGCGCGATCAGAGAAGTATACATCATGTAGCAATACAAGACGCCGGAGACCCTAGGCGTTGATTTTGATGTCCGTTCAAATAAAGTCCGACATAATTAAAGGTAGTTAAATTAAATATATTAAATGAATGCCTTCAATTCAAGCGTTCATTTTAATGTCCATCCAAAATTATGTCCGTTCACGCAATGTCCGGAAAAATAACGTCCGATAAGGCCGTATGCTGACGAATTCTTTGACGAGAAATAATATTACAAATAGCAAATCGTAACAAGACTTTTAAGATACGCTTTATTAAAATAACCTCTACAAGTATACATTAAATTCCACCCCATTGTACTTGTATAGTTACTAACAGGAACCCGTCTAACCCTAAAGTGGTGTCAAGACTCAAGAGACTAAAATAATTATTACCTATTTAATTCGCGTTTTAGACACCACTGGAGGTCCAAATTTTGGGCACTAAAATTCTTATTCCTTGGCCAATTTTTTATTTTTTCATGCTGATTTGAAGGCCATTAAAGTGTTTGAACCAGTCAAAAAAGTTTAAGTTGTATATCCTTTAAGTTTTTTGCGGAAAGTCGTGCTAAAGTTGATGCCGTGGTGTCAGTAAAATGGTACTTATATAGTAACTCAAACGAGTTACTGCAAATCAGCCTCTGGGCAATCAACCAATTATAATGATCAGTTCCATTTTTTGTCTCGGCGCATTATTTATTAACTAGCAGGAACCCGTATAATATAACCCTAAACAGCTAAACGGTGTCAAGACTCAAGAGTCAAGATACTAAAATAATTATTACCTATTTAATTGGCGTTTTTGACACCACTTGGGGGTCCAAATTTTCGGCTCTAAAATCATTATTCCTTGGCCAATATTTTATTTTTTCATGCTGATTTGGAGGCCATTAAAGCATTTGACCCAGCCAAAAAAGTTTCAGTTGTATATCTTTTACGGTTTTTGCAGAAAGTCGCGTTAAAGTTGATGCCGTGGACCCGTGGTGTCAGTAAAATGGCACAGATATATATCGTCTCGCTTTATATATAGTAACATGAAAGGTCTCGAGGAGCCGCCACCGACCACTCATTCGGCGGCTCGTTCCACTCCTTATATGGGCATCACGTGGCTCGTTCCACTCCCTCGTTAAACTTGCTCGTTAAAATCAAATATTGTGAGTGGTTTCGTCTATACGTTAAAAGATAGTTTTGCTCTGGATGGTGGAAAATAATTTAGCATATTTTAATCACGGTGTCTCTATCTAGATCCGTGTAAACATTGCACTTCGGTTAACTAGAACTAATTTTGAAAATCTAAGTAACATGCAGGCTTTATTCAGATATCTAAACATGTATGCTTGAAAAGCCTAAAGATTGGTGTGCGATGTGTTACTGGGCGGTGTTTAGCCTGTGCTGCTATCTCACTATCTGGCAGCTAGTTCGGTATTTTCGGAAAGGAGTTTTATAGTTTATATAGTACATAGTATATATATAGTTATATCCTCCTGTGAGTCCTGATCAATGGTCATACTTGGACTACACAGTCAACAGTATGCATGGGTCGTGCGTTCATTTAATTATTGAGAAGCGCGTTATTAGGAGCATGGTTTAAGTAGTGACAGTGATTAAAAGTGCGTGAGAATGCGTTAATTATTGTTTGTATTAAGCCACGATCCATCACAATTATAAAAGTATATACAAATTCTGTGCAGTTGGTTTAAACTTTATTAAATGTAATAGTTAAATTGATGAATATAAAACAAACAAATCACGAAATATAATGAAATGTAAATGATCAAGTCAATAAGTTTCATAAATGAGCTTTAAACTTTCTAAGAAACAAAGCAGAGAGCTGCCTGATTCTTTTAAAGGCTTCAGAAAATATTTGCGTTTTAAACTTTATTTTAATAACGCGACACTGCGAGTATTTTTACAGTGCACCGTACACGAGGTGATCGTTACAAACCGTTTAAAAGTTCGTTAAATTACGCACGTCCAATCAGTTGAATAGTTTGAAGCCGCCACCTTTGTTCCCTCCCTTTACCTGTTTAAACCCCCACTTATAGTGCCAAGATTTCGTGCCAAAATTTAGTGTCAAGATTTCGTCTAACAGGTCATACTCCCTTATACCAGGAATAGAAAGTAATCAAGTCAAAACACGTTTTATTGGTGCCACCAAACACTAAATTTGGTGCCACCAAACACGTCATTCAGGGCCACCAAGTATTCAAAATCCTAGCCCTCTAATCTGATCCCAACCCTAGGCCTAACCCAATTTCTAATAAAAGCGTATGCTGATTCGGAATCAGCGTCCGAAAATACATCGATTCAAGTTGGTTTTAGAAAAATCTCGAAGATCGACTGTAGACCGTAAAGTGATTTACCACGCTTGCGGCGTTGGAGCTGGCAGAAAAGCGTTTAGCCCAATTCGGACAACTCTCAATCATACGGCAGCGCTAATATAGGTACGCCTAGTGGTAAAGTGGCTATCATAGGCGCCTCAACAAATCGTAAACTATAAGCGTTTTAAAATCTCGAGGTTATAATAAACTGTTGCTATTTAACCTTTTGGAGGACTTCGCCACTTCGACGCACCGCGCGAACTAGCAATAGCATTCTTGCAATAGCATTCTTGCTTTGCATCGTCGATCGTCGCTCTGCTTCGCAGAGCAACGATCTCGATGGGTTGACATCGTCAATCAATTTAACCTTGAGACTGCAGGAAGCCAGCGTCCGTCGACCTTAGAGAGAGACCTTGAGAGCGGCTGACTAGGAGAGTGACTGACTACTAGTCAGTGACTAGGAGGTCTCTTTGATCTTTCAGGTCTTTCAAGTCGGGTTTTTGTGCTCAAAACTCAAAATAGTTTTTTGGCTAGTGGGCAATGTGCATTATATCTTTTCCTTTAATTCAACCAGAATTCAGAAAATGATCAGAGAAGTGAAATTTGCTTTTATGACGAAGTCGAAGTCATTAGTCTACAGTCCTATTTAAACCCCGTCTAATCCTAAAAATAGCTATGCCGTGAAGTAAAGGTAGTTAGTACAGCCAAACCCCGGTTAATCAATGTGTTCTTCCTGAAGGTCCCAGTGAGGTTCACTTTACATGCCTTACATACTCTACATACCTTAAATGATGACATTACCATACCTTACATACTTCTATACTTTGTATTATGCCATTACCATACCTTACATACTTCTATACTTTGTATTATGCCATTACCATACCTTACATACTTTACATACCTTACATACTTTACATACCTTACATACTTTACATACCTTATATTATGCCATTACCATACCTTACATACTTTACATACCTTAAATTATGCCATTACCATACCTTACATACTCTAAATGATACCTTAAATTATGCCATTACCATACCTTACATACTTTACATACCTTAAATTATGCCATTACTATACCTTATATACTTTACATACCTTACACGTGTTTTAATGAGACGAAAAACTCTTGTTTCCTTATTAAAGTCGAAATAAGGTATCCAAGAAAGATGAGCAAAGGTAAGAAATAAGCTGCAACTGGAGAATGGTTGTATTGGCATAAATTTCTGGTATTTA